GCAAAGCCATCTTAGGGTCTCGCAACAGCATCTTAATCAGGCTGAGGTCTTTACTTTCACTAGTACACCGAAATATCTCCATTTTGATACAAATATTTGAAAAAATGGCCAATCAGAATAAAAATGTATAATGTAAACTAGCCAACCAAAACATGAGAATTGGATTGAGTTTGGTCGTTTACAATTACATTTTATTCGGACTTAGGGGTGATTTATGTCGAGCTATAATCAAACATGTCGACCTAAACTCTTTCTCCAATCAGGTCGTTCAGATTTGGTCAAACTGTTCAGAAAGTTATACAGGATGAGACAAAAAAAAAAGAACTCTGGTTTCTTATCCTGTAATGTAGGAAAAGCAGCATCATAAAACCAGTAAAGCCTCAACTACTCTTCCAACCTGTTGTGGGTCAGCATATTTCTACATTTCATGTTTTGTTTTTTTCTCCCCACACAGACTTTCCAATGTTCTTCTACAGAGGCCTAGATCTGTAAAGGTTCAGCAAGAATTGCTTCTCATGCCATTTTAATACATTTCTATAGTAGGGGTGAGTATAGGCATATGTTTTGCGATATGATGTCTCATGATACTTGGGTCCCGATACAATAATCATAATATTTCATTTTCACTATGTATTGCAATATTTTACCCAGCTATCAAAGAGAAATGTATAGAACAAAAAGCATGTGCTGTATATGTCCATCAGAATCCATGCTGTTTGGAGTTTCAGTCAGTCCAAGTACACATATTTCTCAATATGTGTACTTGTGCATTCTCATGTGCTCATGTACTCGAAAAACGTCATCAGCCTCAAACCTAGTACTGCTCAAATTCACAAGAACAAGAAGACTGAGAAAGTACAAAGTCCCCGGATGTTGTTCTCGCCCCTATCTCTTTACCCAGCATGCATCAGTGCAGACTTGTCCGTTCTCGAGTTTGACAGCTGTCCCAGCATGCACTGCGGCGGCAGCAGCTTCCAGGGGAGTGCACACAGAGCTCAGAGTATTAAGTTAAAAGTTCTCTTTTCTGTTGCCATTGTTCTATAAATGTGCCTTTTCAGATAATTTTAGGCAAGAACATTAAACCATATAGCCCATTTATTGATTAAGTGAATAATAATAAAAAAAGTTCAGATACTGAGAGGACCATGGCAACCAGCAGACCTCAGAGGCTAACCGCAGTTGGGGATAATTTCAGCCCGTCTGCAGCCGCCCTCTCTAGGCATAGCCGTGTGTGAAGTACCGCTGGCTCTGATAGTGATGTTTTTGTTTTATTTGGCAAAGTGTACATTTGATTTGTGTTTATTCGACTTTTTTAATTATTATTCCCCCACCCAAATGAAAAAGGTTAGAATTTATTATTATCTAGAGACTATTAATAACAGAAGGTAAATGCAGCTCCAGAAGGGCAGAGTGTGTGGTGATGTCAGGAGTACGCTTCTGTTCAAATTTGACCCATATTTATGCTGTGTGCTCCCGTTCTCACCAAGACCGTACTTTCCTGTGTTCTTCTCAGGAAAATGGAGCTGCAGTGTAAGGTAAAAGGGCTCCATGGTGCCAACAAACAGAATGGCGGTGGAGGCCCATTTTCCCAAATTTAAAAACATTTTTATTTTTTTAAACGATATTAGGAACTGAAAGATCGATATTTTAATGGGCAGCAGAAAATCACGATATATCCCCAAATTATTTTCTACCACACCCCTAGTCTATAGACCGTAGTTTGGACATGGAAACTACAAATATTATCCTTTTAATACTGTTAATAAGATCTGTTCAAATACTTGCACTTCACTGCTACCCTTTCCTTTAAAATTCTAGAGAATCAATAAGGTACCTAATTTTTTTTCATGTGAATTCTTTAACATTTTGGGTTTATTATTAGGTACCAAACAGCTATTGTGATCTTTGTCATGGGGTATTAACCTTAGTTTAGATTTAAACCGTTTTAGTATTTTGTAAAACTGTAAACATTCACAAACCATCCAGTTCAAAGATCAATTAGTCTATTTTGGTCAGTTGCACAGCAAAGTTCTCCATTGTTTCAATATTCTTAGGATATTGTGATGTGTTCAGGTCAGTCTAGCAAACCTGATAGCTGTAGAGGGGCAGCAAAGAGCTTTAGCAGGTGGTACATTAAAAAGATGCTGTATAAAGTATAAAACTGTGTAGAAGGCATGTTTGTTGCAGCTGTATGCATTGTATTCCAGGTCTAATGCAGCAGATGGGCGAGCTCTGCAGAGGGTGGTGAAAGAAGCTTTTTGTCCCTTGCATATTGAATGTCCAGGGAAGAGAGGTTTAAATACTCCTCACACAATCTGCATGAACTTTCGGGGAAAAATTAAAAAATTGAAGTTGTCTATGGTCACTTTAGAGGCATCAAGTGATGACAAATAGTTTCATCAAGACTTCTTGTTTTTCATGATTTATCAATTTCCTCTTTACTCCAGACTTTTATGAAGATGAAGAGAAGCCCTCCTGCGTACATTTTTCTGTAGCTGGTCTGAAAACTGATGCCTTAAAAAAAATCTCCTCAGTATATGTTCTTCTACGACTACTGCTCAACTATCAACTGGCAGAGGATCACTCAGTGATCTTTTGTTTTATTAAAGGCCAATGTTATCCCATGTGAACCAAGATGGCCAAATAGGGATTAGAACCACAGTAGAGATGTAATAAACCCAAGGAGCCTGTAGCCAGTTATCACTTCTGGAGGTGCTTGTAAACCTTACAGCTGAATTAGAAACCAGGATAAAACTTCATCAGCAATGAACCTGTTCATTCCTCTAATGCCTTCCAACAATGTCCATGTTTTTTAGATTTTTTTTAATATTCAAACCACAAATTTCAATAAAGATTTTCTGGTATTTTATGTAACAGACCAACACTCCATGATACACAGTACTCTAAACACACCATCGGCATGGTGAAACATTGTGGCTGCGGCATTATGGTTGACATTCCTTTAGCCAGAACATGTAAGCAGGTTAGACCTGATGGAAGGCAACTCAGGAAGATCACTAGATCAGGTGTATCTTCCAATACAGAAACACACAATATACAAAGAAAGGGACGATGGAACGGGTATATTGAAGCCTTTTTGTGTATTAGAATGGCCCAGTCAAAGTCCTGTAGAAGGACTTGAGACGAACGTTCAGTTTCTGCTCCTCCAATCTAATGCAGCTGGAGTCATTTTGATCACTAGATGAGCACAGCTGGTAAACGTATACCCAGAAACACTGCAGCATTAGCAGCAACAGACAATTCAGCCTAGTACTGATGGCTGAATAGAAATGCATGCCATCCTTTAAAAGACTTTCATTTTAATAATAATAAAAATTGTTGAACTTTATTGATCTCACATTGGAGAAATTTATCTTTGCATTTAACCCACCCCCTTGGGCGCCGGCGCCGGGGGAGCGATAACGGGGTTAAGGGTTTTGCTCAGGAAATTCAAACCAGGTACTTACAACCTTCTCAGAACACAGGCACACTGCTCCAACTACTAGGCCAACACCCCCCCTTGTTGAAAACAGGGTATAATCTTCCTTTAATTTAACAATGATGATCAACTTTTTGTTGCTGTATCACTCTAAAAGCCAAAGCTATATACTGAAATGTTGGGTTGTAATGAGAAAACATGCAAAATGCTCATTTCTGAACTGAAAAATGAGAGTTGTTCATATTTGCTATCATGCCCATAAAGAAAGGCAACAATTTTTACTCATCTGGCATCTTAATTAAGCCACTGACTAAAATGGAGTATTAAGTTACCTTTTCTGACTTTCTACACTGCAACACACACAGCGGTCAACCTTTGCCATTTAGTAGTGAAATGGATATTTTAGACAGGTAAGCTGCCTGTCCTTCAGGAAGCTTTCATCTTTTCCTAGCAGCAGAGGTAATGTTTGCTCTCTGCATGAAGAGGCTCCTGCAGACACACAGTGAGCTGTTAGACTACGTTCTCCAGCTCTCCTGCTGTCCTCTCTTCCCACTGAGTGAGCTCAGCGGACAGGAGCCAGTCTAATCCCCCTGATATGAGGAGCGCCTTGAGACCTGACAAAGCATTCCTGAGATAAAGGCACGCGATCGCAGGAGATGCTGAGGAATTCCCACAGTCGGAGGCCAGCAGACTGACTGGGTTGGAGAGTGAGAGGAAGAAAAATGTAGAATTGTTTTTTCCGCCGGTACATGAGGACTTTGACTTGACACTCATCTCCCTTTCCTCCAGTATCTGCTTTCTTCGTCTCCCCCTCCCTGAACCTGCTCTGTGCCATGTGTAGACGTCTGAGAATCAACGCACCAAATGCAAACCAGACCGATAACAATCCTCTCTCACCTGGGTTTGTCTGTGACTTCAGTACCCCATCGTCTTTGATGCCTAACTCCAGACTTTTCCCCTGCACCATCAGAGGCAATGCAAATTGTACCTTTTTTCCCCTAAGAAAAGGGGAAGATGCTGTTCGAATGTTAGACAGGATGAGACAAGGGGAGGAGATGAAAAAGAGCTGTTAAATATCAGTGGCAACGTGAAAGCAAACACCTCCCGTCTTCCTGTCTCATCATCACAGAGAGGACTTCTGTTTTTCTTAAGGCAGGTTCTTTGTAAAGCATTTTGCTCTGGATGACGAGCAGCACTGACGGATAGAACAAAAAGAGAAAAAAAAAAAAACCAAAGGGATTTAAAATTCCTGGGTTTCAGAATGCTTTTTCAAGATCCACCAAGGCCTCCTCTGAGAATACCAAGCCGAGATGTCTTCAAGGTCTGACTTTCAAAAGTCCCCTGCAGCTATGCTGGGAAACATGGCATGAAACTGCAGACTGCAAAGCTAAAGAGAATCCCAAAACTTTATACCATATGGGTGTTGAGAAAATGTCAAAGCTGTCAGTTCTCAACAATTCTCCAATTTATTCCAGACTCAAAGATGCAGTGCTGAAAAGCTGACTTGTTTGTTTGATTGTGGAAAACTGTGCAAGCATAAATTTTAACCACGACTCCTCACCTATCAAATGAGCGAAACTGTGGTGATGATCGCCTGTCGAAGTTGCTCACAGATCCCAAAAACGACGGGGGCAGCAGACTGGGGTCCACCATTACGTCTTCGGACGGCGCGCTCACCAAGCTGCGCAGGATGTCCTTTACATTCTTCGACTTTGAGTCAGCAGAAGGTGCTCCTCTGACCTCAGAAGAGAGAGTGGACAGCGCTTCTGAGATGGCGTCTGGACCGTGCGTTACACCTGAGGATGAGAGATCGGCCTCGCTCGCTGCAGCCGAGGTGTGGTCTTCACCGATCCCTGAATCATAGCGTCTCAGAGAGAAGCCGTTTTCCACTTCGGGTCCAGCTGAAACCGCGCCGCTGTCTGAAAACAGAGGGTTACACAATGATATAAGAGATCAATGAGTAAAAACTAAGATTCTTCTAGCTGTGGTTTGAATCCATAATGGCTAATAAGAAGAGATATTTACTAGGAAATCATCTAAAGCTTAAATACTAAAATATATACATATAAAATGCAATGCATCCACTTATACCAACATTTCTATGAGGCAAATTTATTTAACAGATTAAAATTCGGTTAGTGATTAACCCTTTGAAACCTAAATGGAAAAAAATCTTGTAATTCCATTGTTTTAGTTTAAAAGCTCAACTTTTATTTTTATCTTATTTTCTTATAATTTATGAAACAACAAAGAAAAACCACCTCCTATCTTTCCACAGAGACCAAGGCAGCACTATGTAACTGCCTGGGACCTGGGCAGCCAGGTAACCAGTGGGAACCTGGCAGCATGGCCCCAGTTAATCCGTTCCTTTTGAATCATTTGTGTTACTTTAAACAAGGTTTTTAGATTGTTTGCTTCTGCTAGACTGGTTTAAATCATATCTATCTCACAGATTTAAGTTTGTTCACGTTAATTATAAACCTTCCTCATCCTCCCGGGGTTACCTGCGGAGTACCACAGGGATCAGTGCTAGGATCAATTCTCTTTACTATATATATGCTCCAAATCCGTAGAATTATTAGAAAGCATGGTTAGATTAATTTCCACTGCTTAGCTGATGATACCCAGCTATATCTGTCTATAAATCCAGATGAAGCTAACCCATTACATAGATTACAGGCAGGTCTTTGAAAAAGAATCTGATTAGTCAGTCACTTCATTTGGATGGGATTAAATTGATCTCAGATAATAAAGTAAAAAATCTTGGTGTTATTTTTGATCAGGACCTGTCATTTAAATCCCATATCAAAGAGGTTTCTAGAATTTCCTTATTTCATCTGCAGAAAATTGAAACAATTAGAAATATCCTGTCCAGGAATGATGCTGAGAAACTAGTCCATGCATTTGTTACTTCAAGGCTGAACTATTGTAATTCTTTACTATCAGGAAGTCCACAAACTGTAGTTAAAAGCCTTCAGCTGATCCAAAATGCTGCAGCCAGAGTTCTGATGAAAATTAAGAGAGATCACATCTCTCCTATCCTGGCTTCTCTTCATTGGCTTCCAGTTAAATCCAGAATAGAATTTAAAATCCTCTTTCTCACATATAAAGGCTTAAATGGCAAAGTTCCATCTTATATCAGATATATGATTGTTCCCTATGTTCCTAACAGAGCACTTCACTCTCAATCTGCAAGTTTACTAGTGGTTCCTAGAATTTCTAAAAGTAGAATGGGAGGCAGATCTTTTAGTTATCAGGCTCCTCTCCTGTGGAACCAACAACCAGATTTAGTCCGTGAGGCAGACACTCTGTCTACTTTTAGGGGTGGGTTTAATTTCCTTTTTGATAAAGCTTATAGTTAGAGTGGCTCAGGTTATCCTGAGCTATTTCTATAGTTATGCTGATATAGGTTTAGAGTGCTGGAGGACATAGGGACCCCTTTTTTATCAATATGCTTCATTCCATCTCTATTCTCCCACTCTGCAGAATCTGTTAGCTCAATCTCTAACCTCATGCTCTCTCTGCTTTTTCTCATAGTAACTTCGCCTCGTCTGTTCCTGTTTGGCTGTGACTCCATCCTGGAGAGAAATATCAGCTGTGCTGCTGCCATCAACACCTTTGTTCATAGACGTTTGAGCTCGGCATATTTTCCAGTGTAGTCCTGTTTCTCTGACTGTGACTAACTGAATGTGCTCATTTCATCCTCTAACTTGGCCGTTTGCTCAGAGCTCGTCTGCCTGGCAGTGTGTTTCCTGGATGGGGCCGCCTGTGGAGCTGGTTAGCAAGTTCCTTTTGACGTAGACTTAGACTTACTTTGTCATTTTGTTCACAAAAAGAAATTTTGTTCAGTACAGCTCTCAAGACATTTCTATTTTTAACGTGCAGCAGTGATAAAATGTAAGCATGGTGATCAAATGTAAACATAAGACTGATATATGATTTACAGTTTCTAACATTCAGTGCTTTATACAGCATTCAGCAGTCTAATGGCAGTGGGGAAGAAGCTGTTCTGGAATGTGCTGGACCTGCATCGGATGCTTCGAAGTCTCTTCCCAGAGGGCAGCAGGGAGAACAGTCCATGGTGGGGGTGTGAGGAGTCATTGATAATGTAACAGGCTCGGGACACCCAGCGCTGGGAGGAAATGTCTTTTATGGAGGGAAGAGCAGCCCCGATGATCCTCTCTGCTGTTCTCACCACTCATCTCACCTTCTTCCAGTCTTAGGCATTGCAGCCTCCACACCACATAGAGACAGCTGGTCAGAAGGCTCTCTATGGTGCTTCTTTAGAAGGTGGTGAGGATGGGTGGGGGTATGTGGGCTCTCCTCATCCTCCGCAGGAACTACATGTGCTTTTGGGCCCTTTTAACCAGTGAGGTGGTGTTTACAGTTCAGGTGAGGTTGTCTGTGATGTGCATCCCCAGGAATTTGGTGCTGATGACCACCTCAACCTGGACTGACTGAGGTCTGTTGATGAGGAAGTCTAACAGCCAATTGCAGAGGGGTGTATTGAAGCCCAGCTTTTCCAATTTTTCTATCAGATGCTGTGGGATGATGGTGTTGAAGGCTGAGCTGAAGTCCAGGAACAGCATCAGCACGTGGCTGTTCTTCTCCTCCACGTGTGCCAGGCTCAGGTGGAGAGCAGCAGAGATGGAGTCTTCAGTGGAGCGGTTCCATCGGTAGGCAAACTGGAACGGTTCGAATGTTGGCGGAGACGATGTCCTTTAACCAGCCTTTCAAAGCACTTCATCATGATGGTTAGTGCGACAGGCCGGTAGTTATTGAGTGAGGTGAGCTGATGATTATGATTCGTAATGATTATGATCAAACGAATTGCTTTGATTCAACAACACGAATTGCCTTGATTGAATTGCATGAGTTCAAATCCTTCCCCTTTTGAAGAGTGGCTAAGAGGCTGTTATTTAAATCATTTTTGGACACTCACCAAATTCCAAATAAAAGGTTTAATAAACATTGTTATAGTTTGTAATACATGATACAAGATTATTTCTATATGCATCTTTTTCTCGATTGTTTAACTTCATATTAAAATTAAAAATGGTTCATGCTTCTGCAATAAAGGATTTGTAAGACTCACTATCTTTCTATTACATTAACATATTCAGTTGATTGATATTTTGATTAGGACATGTCTCTTTACCTGTGCTCCTGGAAGACTGCGAGCGAAGAGGGTGTTTCCTGTCATTGTGGGGCTCCAGGATGTCACGATACTTTGACACCATGAGGACTGAGATGAAGTAGACCACTGCTAGCGCAAGAAACTGAGCCTGCTTGCTGTCCTCCTGAAACAAACAAAATACACTAAACAATCTATTCTATAAAAAGCATTGAAAGCGAGAAGAGGGGATGCGCGGCGTGAAGAGCTGCACAACTCACAATATCTCTGAACACGACGGCCCTGAGGCGGTTAATGTCCATGTCCTGAAGAAGCCGGTCCAGATCTCTGACTGTTGTCACACCACCCGTCACTGCATCCACAGGACTCTGTATATAAACATTAAGATCAGGCCCACATTACAGATAAGTTCTAGATAACTATACACTAAGTATAAAAGAAACCAAAAAAAAAAAATGAAGTAATCAGAAGATCTACTGTATCTAACCCTGATCTCCAAGTGTTGTGGGTTTAGGGCAGCTAGCCCTCCAGAGATCGGATCTTTAATATATTGGCTTTCCAATAGAGCCACTGAATTATAAATGAGCTTTAACACTCAGTTCAGGGAAATCCACATGACTTTACTGGCAGTCACTGTATCAAATCAAAGGAGCAATGACAAAAGGCCTTGTCTAGTGTAACAAATAGAATGGTGTCCAGTAATACAATAAGACATGAGCTAATGCAATAATACTTGGTGGCTTCTGGTGAGGAAGACAAAGGACAAAGCTGATGTGGTTTAATGCTAAGGACGGCAAAAAGAAAAGAGCGGTAACGTAAGAAGCACAGAATCAGTTGTTGACTGAAAACAGATTATTTGGATTGAACAGAACGAGCTGGATTGATCTAATCTTTACCGAAAACACTGGCTGCATGGTACACAACTGGGTTACGTTACGCTAACACCCACCAGGTCACAAGAACAACAACACTCTTCAGAGTGGGGGCTGTTACTGTAGGAGGATAACCTTAACATTAGCAGTTTTTACCATCTGTTGCTGCGTTTCCATTAGAAATGTACGTAAAACTATGTTGATATTCTGCTAAATTTGAAAACAGCTGCAGATTACAGGACTCATTTAATGCTAAAACAGTGCTTCCATTGCAGTTCTGAGAAATATTACAATTTGGATAGGACTGAAAAACCGACTCATCAACGTGTAATAACATTTGCATCGTGAGTTTTTTTAAAACTGCAGTTTCTATTAGGCAATTTTTTTTTAGGCAATTACAATTTGCTCAATTAGATGATTAATAGGAACTCGCTTAGTGAGCTGTTACTGAATGCGAACTAACAGCAGAATTTGTTTCAAAGAAAATTTAAACCTTTTATTTATGGCACAGTTGACTAGACCTTGGCTGACGGTCAAGAAAAGAAACCCTCCATAATATGATGTCAATTATATCTGTCATGGAAGCCTGCAGGATTTAGAAATGTTAGCAAAAAAACCAGAGACACCTGTTCACAAGTCTTCATGTGAACTGCAACAAGGCAATAAAGACATTTTCAAATTTCACTTCTTGTTTTAAATCAGTGACCTTGGTTTAGTGGGACTGCTCTCCTACACTTGGTGGGATGAGACTCTTCAGTGAAAAAAATTATAGGAGGAAACAAAAAATGTATTTGATTTCCAGACTACTAGGTTCTTTGACATGATGAGTTCAAATGAACACTGTAGATCAGAGGAATGGACCGCCCTCTTAACTTCACCCAACAGATGTCAGGTCTGGTAGAAGATCCTGTCACACAAGACTGGACAGGACACTTTGAACGAAAACTAAAACATTTAGGAGAAACCAAATAAAGTGTGTATCAATAGGTCAATGCTTCAGAAGAAAAACAGAGATCTGAAATTGGCCGCAAGTATCTGATCTTCCTGGAAAAAGTCCCTTTGAAATAAATGTTGAAAAAATACTTAGCAACTCACCTGTGCAGATGCAGACTTGGCGGTTCCAACTGCGGTGCTGGGAATGACGGTGTAGCTTCTTGATGAACCCTCTGCACCTTTAAACTGGGCTTGCTGACACTCCAAGCAGTTTCTGACTGCTATAGCACACACTGGGAAGGGGAGGACAGAGTTCATACTATATGTAATATCATTACCGTATTTTCACGACCATAAGGCGCACCGGACTAAAAGGCGCACTCTCAGTTATGTGTCCCATTTCTGTATTTAACACACACATAAGGCGCACCGGACTATAGGGCGCGTTTTTTATATACAGGTACATGTCCTCTACTACCTTTAAATACCTCTACTGCGTATTTAAAAATACAGCGGGGGCAAAACTGAGTATGACTGTGCTTTATTCATGTATTTATTACAAAGTATTAATCAAACCTGGCAGCTGGCCGTGAGACAGACACATCGCAGATGACACAGCGCTGTGATCACTCCTAAATTAACTTAAAATCCTGAAACCTGCCGACGGAATATGTTCGCTTTTATTACCGGTATCCTGGTGCCTGCAGCTAAAATTGATGAAATTGATGAATTGATGAAAAACATATTAAAACTACTTTATTCCCACTGATCACAGCAAATATAGCTGCAAGATTTAGATTATTTAGATGAAAAACACCTGCCAGCAGCCGCGGTGAACGAAAGGATTTCTACTGTCGGTGCACCGCTGGTATGTGGGGGTCTGAGCGCCTCCGACAGAAATAGATAATCTGGATGAACTGACTGCAATTATTAAGTTTTCAGGTGGACTTTCTCACTTAAAAACATATTAAAACTACTTTATTCCCACTGATCACAGCAAATATAGCTGCAAGATTTAGATTATTTAGATGAAAAAACACCTGCCAGCCACCGCGCTGAAGAGGAGGAGACGCGCTCAGAGGCAGCTGTTGAATTAAGTTTTCAGGTAGAAAAATAGAGCGGAAGCAAACCTGAGTATGATTGTGCTTTATTCATGTATTTATTACAAAGTATTAATCAAACCCATCAAAGTCATCATCCTCTGTTATCCTCAGCATTCCTCTGAATAAAACAGCTGCGCTAAATCAGACATGCCAGTTTCCCCTTCTTCGCTGTCAGAGTCACTTTCCGTGCAGCGCAGCTCCTCAGAAATAATGCCGGCTTTTGCGAAAGCTTGAACAACAGAGCCAGCAGACACAGTCCATCTACAATCCATCCGCAAACGGTGGCGTAACTTGCATGGCGCTGCCTTCCATTTATCATGAAACTGTGGTCTCCGTCTGTCATCCATCGCTCCCACGCCGCTCGCAGCCTTACTGTGAACGGCCGCTCCACACCGATGTCGAGCGTTGGAAGTTCCTTTGTCAGACCCCCCGGGATAACGGCGAGCACAGCGTTCATTTGATTCACCTTTTTTTCACATCGGCTGTGAAATGGGCACGCAGCGATGGTGATGCGTGGAAAAAAGCACCTGGTCTCCTCACATACACCTGCCTTTCATCATCTCCTCATTCATCCAGCCTTTTCATTTGCGTTAATATCATCAGAGCGCTGTGTCTCGCTGTCAGCTCCCAGATCAGCTTCTCTGATTGGTTGATGCGGCGCGTCCAGCAGCAAAACTTCAATTTTTCCATCTGAGCAGCAGCAGCGCGTTGGCGGTGCGTCAGATGCTTAAACGCTCCCGACGTGCTGCACCAAAACGCGCTGCAGGACCTTTTGCTGCACCTATATGCGCGTCAACCATTGACTTTGCATGTAAACTCGCTGCTTCTGCTGCACCTGCTGGGTCCGGTTCACACCGATGTCGAGCGGTTGAACAGCGAGCACAGCGTTAATTTGTTTCCCCATGTTTTTCACATCAGCTGTGAGATGGGCACGCATGGAGTTACATATTAACAGCGATGGTGAGGGGTGGAAAAAAAACACCTGGTCTCCTTACATTCAGCCACTCTTTCATCATCTCCTCAATGAGGTGGTCTCAAAAGTCGCAGTTACAACACACATAGGGCGCACCGCACCATAGGGCGCACCGCACATTTTGAGGAAAAAAAAAGACGTTTAAGTGCGCCTTATAGTCGTGAAAATACGGTAATTAACTTATTATCAGGCAATATATATACAGTTATGTTAAATTCTTCACGAGGGTTTTTGTGGCTCAAATGCAACAAAGGAAACTAACGGAGATCTAGTCTATAAATGGAGAGGAGCAGCTGAGAGAGACAAAAACGGGAGAAAAAGTAGGGGCCATGACAAGTTCGGTGCTCCGGCCAACTCTGGCAGCACCGCTCACTCTTCCCTGCTCCACCTCTCCTGCCAAGGTCACAGTGCAGGGGAGTTCTCCTGAATCATATCCACTGTGTGCAGCTCCCATAACAAATGACACTGCTGGAGGGCACGCGTGCTGAGTAGGCAGCAAGATGCGTCCTTCGGCACAAAAAAAAATCTCCTTTTTCCCCCCCGACAACTTCAGGTGGGTTCAGAAGTGACATGGTTAACGTTTTGTAATTTAATGTAGCGCTCTTCCCTGAAGCCCCCTCCCAGCGGTTGACAACTGACAAATGTTAACTCTGCCGCCTTAAGATTACCAAGGAGGGAATTATTCCTTTTGGAAATGGGCTCGCCTTTTCCATTAGGAGCACTCTTTCATACAACCATTTATAAAAAGAGAGGCAGAGGGAGGGGTGGGGACGCCAAAATCTTGTTACAGTTTTCCTAAATCAGATTAGGTGCTAGCGATGGGGAGCGCATACCTCATCAAATATTCATTTCATAAAGGCAGCTTCTAAAACCGGTGCTTTATAAGCTTCACAGCAGAAACGTAATCTATGCAGGGGAAGAAAAAAAAAACGTTCTCCACATAATGAGCTCACACTGTGGCAGCATTCTGGTTGTAATCGTTCCTTAAAATAAAACTGGATACCTGAATATGATCCGTTACAAAACTGGAGAGAATCTCTCTTTTTCTACTGTTGTGACAATCTGTCATACTTTCATGAATTATCCACATTGCTGAGAAGGTCCAAAAAAACTGAATAATGCAACAGTTTCTTTATCTTTTATTCAGCGTTTGTGTGGATAGGTTCTTGATGCTGTCAGAGGAAACCTTAATAGCCAGGAACAGAAGGCAAAACAATGCTTGAGGGTATGCAGCCACACAGCACTCCACAGCAGTCAAGGCCATTATGGACAATGCACTAGATCATGATAGCTGCTCTTTTAAAGATTTGCCATGCAGCAGGGTTATAATAACATAATAAGGGTGAGCTGTGAGAGATGCTGAACTTTTGGGGGGGGGGGAGCATAAGATGGAAAAATGAGTGCCGCTACATATATTAGGTGAATTTAAAATAAAATATGATAAACAATTTCAAATATTTGTTATTTTTCTCTGAATTTTACAAAAAGATCTTATTTTATCACATTTAATGTGTTTTCATTCATTTTGTTTTTTTTCACTTGCAGATAGATTAAGGATCAAAACTAGTAGTGAGAGTGGAGATGCAACTGGCTGCAGAGAAAAGCTGCTCAGATGTTGGATGTAGTTAAAACCATAATATCTTCAAAGTGCTTAAAAAGATCTCACACTGACCATAAAAATGGAGAGAAGAGCAGCACGCTGTGCATTATAGCTAGAATTATAAGCAGCTTCAGCAGCAACGGGGGGCCTACCTAGATTGTTTTATTATTTTAAGCTTTGAAACCTTCAATAAACCTTTTAAGTTTTGGAGATGCGTCCATCTTATAGAAACAATAAAAAAAGTCATTCTGTTCAGACTGCTACTAGACAAGTATAACTAAAAGTTAAAAAAAAAACAGATTTTAAAGTCTCAGCTACAGGTTTTTTATTTTGGTTCACAAAAAAATTTGTTTCATTCTATTTTATTTACACTCTTATACCTTTGCTAACCCTCAATTACATCTAGAGGCAGTTGTTAAGCATAGTTATTTTTTTGTTCTATTTTAGCAGCTCTTAAAAAAGCCAGAAAGCTGAAAGCAGCAGTTTTTTCTTCCCTAAAGGACTTTGTTCTGAAATCCCTTCTTCCCCCACCCCCTCCATCCTGTCTGAAGCTCAGATTTAGAGGACCTGCAGCTGACAAGAATGTAAATATAGACATTCATTAATCATTCTGATGGTTATTGTGTAATTAATAGTCTTGCAAATATAAATACAGCTGATATTTGCTAAAAATGTGTTCTGGTTTAAAGGGTGGGGGAAAAAAATCAAATTCTTAAACTAATCTAAATAAACTAAACCAAATGGATTTTAGATAACATATCTGTTAAGTTTAGTTACACAATTAAAACAGAAATCTAAAAATCTGAACCTCTATAATCCAGGCTAAGCAAGGTTGGCAGTAAGGCTGATCTCCTCCTAAAAGTTTAAAGGTCTTTTTTAAAGAAGGTTAGAGTTATGTCTTAAATTCAGCCATTTTCCCTAGCCCTTCTTTCTAAATTGGGTGGATCAATAATTATAAATACCGACTGAATACTGACTGATACTGTACTTACATCATCAGTCACTTTTCAGTCATATCACATAGCCCTAAAACCCCATTGCTTGAAATGTTAAAGATTTCTTTCATTTGGTTCATGTTGGTTTAATAGTTTTGTCCATCTCTGGTTTAGTTCCACCTAACTTTATATCAGCAAATCTACCAAAAAAGTTACTTATTACTCTGAGAGTTTCAGCAGTTTTTAAATCACAGCCTGTGGGTTATTGAAAACGAGGAATCTACTGTTACAATACCCAAACCCAATAGCTTTAAAATACAAGGTCTTCATGTGTTTATTCAAATCAAAGTAACTTTATATACAAAGCAACACAATCTACTCCTCATTCCAGAGGCCTCACTAGTAGAATAAAATGTAGCAAAAGAGGTTTTGGTTCAAAGTTGTGAAAAAAAAATCTGAACTATTTAAGTAAATTGTAATAAATGAGAAAATATGTAAAAATACAGAAAGAGAAGATCCACAGAATAAAAAAGTATTCAATGGTATTTATTGATAGGATAGTGTTTACCAAGGCGAAGGCACTGACGCAGGATTCCCCCTGATGACATGTTTTTCTCAGCTTCAATCTCGGTAAAGTTTAAGGAGCTGGCGAAGATGAGCACGTCTGCGAGGTTGATGAGGCGCTGTAAGAAGGTGACCGAAGCCTCCACTGGCAGACCCTGGGACGGCTCAATGTTCTCCAGTTCATGCTGGGGGACAAGAGAAGAAAATATCCGCAGGAAAAGGTGGATAAAATGTCATGGCATGACAGCAAAAGAAAAAAAATAATAAATTTGTTAAAAGTTTTGATATTAGTTTATAGTAACACATTATATAGATAATAAGTATCTATATAAAAAATACTGACACCTCTGCTAAAGATGTTTAAAAAGCCCTTAGCTGGATAACTGCTACGTTGTGATGGCATGATGCCTTATTGGGTCCCAATTCTCTACCAGATATCAGAGATGCCATTAGCTTCCTTTAAAAGCCTCCCTTCTTTCCAAGGTAATGAGATAAACTTCCTTCTTGTTCAGTCTTGCTTATTAGGATTCCAGTTATTCCCCATGTGATAAGCTATATTCTGACAGCTATTTCAGGACACCTGCATTTCTAAAATGACGTGTTTTCTAAAAACCAGGGGAAAAAATGACATCTACAAAGTGCACTTTTTTCTTAAATGTCATGTTGCACACGTCTGCTAAGTGTATTATAGAAGGATTGAGCATCAAAGCATTTCCTAGACGGGCTGGTCAGGTCAGAGGCAGAGTCATAGAATCACATAAGAGCAATGAAGTCATGAGGAGGTCAGACAAGACAAACCAAGCTAACAATGTTAACGGGCATCTAACTGTAGTCTAATGTGATTGGAAAAGGTCAATATGGATTGATAACTTCTTGTGACCGGTGCCATTAGCCCCGGATGAAAACAAAGAGCATCTAAAAAACAGAAGGACTCACCGAGGCAGACGTGGCAGCAGACAGCAGAGGTAAAATACCTCCACAAGCCATGATAAGATTGTCCACAACCTGGGAGATAAGATGAATACTGTTGTGGACAAAAACAACGTTCTCGCTGCTGTTCACAAAGTCCAGGACTGTTTTAGTGGAGTGGCTGAGAGAGAGATGACAAGAAAAGAACACTTAAAAATAATCAATCAAAAAGATGCTTTAATTCATGCATCAGTAACCCTTTGTAAAGAGGAATTCCTCTTGCATATTTATAATAGTACCACTGAAGAGATGGATGCTTCAAGGTCAACATCTGAGTCACCTTCAGGTTTAGCAGAACAAAACTAAGAAATGCACTTACAGTTCTGAGTAATTACAAATGTATTTATAGTGCAGATATTATGGGACAGTTATTCCGTATAATATATATATATATATATATATATATAATCACCATTTTATTCATTAACAGGTTTATTTATAACAATATTAAAATTATATCATATCCATCAAAATTAAGATAATCCATTTTGCTGGTATTGACCAGCCCAAAAAACTTTTTCAAATGCCTTATTATTTTTTTCTCTAAAGCAAAAAGTTAAAAACCTAGTATCTCTTTTAAGATTGCAAACATTTATTTTAGTCATCTCTGTGAAAAGAAGGGATAATGTTACAAAAAGGTTAAGCCTGTAGTTTAGAAATGCTTATTAAAACTAAAAAAAAACAACAGAAAAGGGATATAAAAGCAGTCATAATAGCAGAAGGTCAACAATTTTATCGTACATTAAAGGTAATTTTTCAAAGAAACTAGTTAAGTTAAGCAGGTTAACGTGCGTAAAATGGACAGCCTACAGAAAACATGGCTAACTATCAAGCTAGCAGTAAAACGTCTCTAAATTTTATTGAAAAAAAAATGTTTTTTCTGCACAAGAAGCACATCTATAAAAGAAAAAAAAATGTATGTTGTGTTGTTTTTTTAATGTTTTATTGAGTTTATTCTCCACTTTTATATTTATTTGACAACTTTTGAGGAAACAGCCTTGAAATTAAACTTCAGTGGTTCCGATCGAACTAGCATTTTGGCCTTGACTGTTACTTTATCCAGCTAAAACTTTTAAGTGTTTAAGTGTTTAACATTTTAATAACATTCATTGTTTTGGGTTGTTTCAACTATGAAATACAGTTTTTTCATCACTGCATAATTCTTTTGTCTACCATAAAAAGATGGTGTTATTACTCACCTTGTTATCTTAACATTTAACAGACAGAGGTGTTACGAAGCTGTACAAGTTAGTTCAATAATTCAGGGGCCAAACCGCTGGAATTTGATTGATTGTAAACAGGAGTTGGAAAATTGCTCTTGATAAATGATGATATATTCACAAATAAAAAAGCAGGCCTGCAATTTGACTGTGAATCAACTGATTTCTGTTTAATACTTAAAAATCAAAACAGTTACTAAAAGAGAAATATTTCAAATCCAGTCCATCCCATTCAATTTTTGAGTTTCATCTGTTATCTCCTCAGAGATTTAAAGCCCAGGTCACAAAGGCTGCGTCTGACTTTTTAAGCTGATTTGATTTTTTTTGCCATGTCACACTGGCTGTGTATAGAGAGACCCACTTTATGAGTCTGTGCAGCATCTCTTAAACCAGAACAGATGGAAAATATTAATAGACCTATGTTAACGATATAATGGGAACTATGTCTAAAGAAAAGGAAAACGTAGCAATAAAGGCCATGGGACGGTTTATATGCTGACTGAGGATGTGAGAGGGGATTCTCAGAGAGAGATCTGGGAAATTTATCGAATTTCTGGGGGGATTTTTTCATAGAGGGGAAAGATGAGCTACGCTAACCTACACTGCCCCTTGTTTTGATTTTTGTGAGGTTCAAAGAGAATCACTATTTTACTATATCCATTTTCTGTCCTCCTGAACTCCTATCATGGGTAAAGTATTCTGTTAATTAAAAAGTTTTATTGATTGTTTATGCCCAGTCTACCGCTCCTGATATATATGCGCTCTAAGCGAACTCCAAAATGGACTGTTATCCCATGCATTTAACAGATTTTATTTTGTATTTTCCCCCAACGCGGATGTGTTGTACTTTGTAATTACATCTCTTTCTGTCAGACACATGAAATTACCACTGAATAGTCAGATTAAAAACAAAAAATCCTTTTTCAGCTAATCAATATTATTGGCAATAAACAAAACAAAGGTGGGTCTGCATGTGTTATTACCTCCTCCACGCCTGCACATCTGTCTCAATGGAGAAAAGTAGGTCAGTTAGGAGGCGCTGGTGCATGTGGGACCAGCGGAACTCTGGGATGCGGAACATGGTGGAGCGAGGAGCCGAGGTGCTGCCATCTTCTGCTTTGCCTGATGGACTTACTGCTTCACCTGCTGCTGCTCCTGGTGATGCTGCTTGGCCTGATTCCTAATTTAAACCAATAAAAAACAACTTTAAAATCCAAGCAGGATTGAAAAGGACATTTAATGGTGAGAACCAATAAATAGATGCATACTGCGGCAGGGGTCTCCTTCAGTTCAAGTCTCTCTGTATCGATGGCCACGTTTGCCACGTCAAGTCGGGCGATTTTAATCTCTTTGGTCTTGGGGGCAGAATTTGAGCCCTTGCTGGTGGTAGAGCTAGAGCTGGCAGTGCTGCTGTCGGGGGCACCAGCGAGGGTCCCCTCTGCAGTGAGCTCACTGGACTTTGAAGCTGGGTCTTGTGAGGTTACCTCTGCAGCTGCAGGAGCGTCCTGGACTGAAGGAATTGCTGAAACATCTGAGGCCTGCTGGTCTGTAGCAGCACCTTCCGCTACAGAGGAAGACTGTGAATCATTTACATTTTCTTTGGTGGGTTCTTTGACACTTTGATCCTCTGTTTCAGCGGGAGATGTCTGACTTTTTGAGCAAGACACCTGATTCTCTACAGATGCTTCCTTTGCTTCTTTCCCAACAGTCTCTAATTCCTTTTTGCCATCGACCATTTCTGTCCCTTCTTTTTGGAGCTCTTTTGTTTTGCTACCATCTTCTTCTTGCTTATCTTCCTCTTTTTTAAATAGTTCTCCTTCCTCTCCTGTAGCAGCTGAAACATAGGAGGAATCTTCTTGACTATCATCTACATCGCTTGGGTTAATCTGGTCACTGATTGACGACACGTCAACCAAGTCCTCGTTTAAGACAGAGGCTCCGCCCAGAACACTGTTCTCCAGAGAAGCTGAAGGTTCAGGGGACATTTGCTCAACCTGGTCTCCTTCTTCAGACACCCCAGAATGTTGTTCTGCTGTAGAAGGTGGATCACCTTTTTCATCCTGGGTCTCTGCATCATCATTGGTTGAAACAACAGAGTCTTTCACCACCTCCTTGGTATTTGCACCAGCAGCTCCACTCTGAACACTTCCAGCCGTTTCTGGATCCTCGTTGCTCTTCTCGGTTGCTGGTTTAACTGATTCCTCCTGTTTTTCTACATTTTGGTGCATCACAGTAGCTCCAGTTTCTTTGTCAACATTTGATTGATCTCCAGAGGACTCGTCCATTTTCACTTCCTGCCCTTGCTCGGTGCTGGGTGGGATGTTGGTCACATTGCTGGATGAAGTGTTTCTTTCCTCTGCAGCCTCCACTGGTGTTGAGGCAATAGTGGAACTAGATGCAGACTCCATGGAACGTTGAGGCTCTGTGTTTACTGTGAGCTTGATGGCCGTTGAGGGTGCTATCTCTTCAGCAAGTGGCCCGTTAACAGATTTCGAGTCTTCAGAGCTTTGGCTGACACCAGAGATGGTACGGATGGTGCTCCGAGAGCTTGTAGAGCCCTGCTGCTGGTACTGACGGAACATGCGGGACAAACTTTCTTTGTGCTGCTCAAATGTCACCTGTGAATGTACAATTAATAGCAGTGTTAGAAGTCTCACTATTAGAGATAATACTAAGGATTTCATGAGCATGTACTATATGACAATAAAACTAGATGCAGAATAATAGGCGGTAAATAAAAACTAAAAGTCCTGTTTCTTTGACAAATTTTTTTTTTCTAAACTTATCTTCCTTGTTTATAAACTCATTTTAGTGTTTCTCTAACTTCTCCAACCAAGCATCAGGATGGGAAAGAAAAGGCCTGTAAGCTCATTTGATGGTGGTATGGTTTCTGGTGCTAGTCGGACTCTTTTGAGCAAATCAGGAACTGGTGTTCCTCTGGGATTTCAAAACACACAACCCTTTATTGGGTTTAGAGGATAGTTTAAAAATGAAAAAATATATATATATATGATTATGCCTTATTTGTGTGATAAAAAAATGGGACCACTGCATTGATAGAACGACAACTTTCTCAAGAAACTCTTCACAATGGAGTAATGGTATTTTCAGTCATTATTTCTGAAAGCTAGATACGTCAATCCTTTAATCAACAGAATTACTTCAGCTGAAAACAGGAAACTAAGGGTCGATCAGCAAACCCAGATGACTTTTCTGTTGAGCCTAAATCAACTGCAATATTTAAATCTAGCTCTACTTGTCTTTTCTCAGTAAGTAGACATCAAAGTATGCTGTAACAAAAAAAGGTGGCATCAAAGATCTGTGAATGGTTTCAAATAACCCGTCTATATGAGGAACTGCTCTTCCACTACCAAACATTTCTAAAATGCTACGAAAACCAAATACTTAAGTATGTAACAGATTAACAATTCATAATTTTTTTTTTTTTCAAATATATTGCATCAGACTATGTCTTCCATTTTTTAAATGAATGACTGAAAAAAACATTAAATAAAACATACTGGTGCCATTTTGAGAGGCACAGATCTCAAAGAACAGATTAAAAAGCCCAGTTTTAACGGAGCCAATTAAGGGTTAATTAATTGTGTTGAAAATATTTGACTTATTAAATCAATATGAATTAGGTCATCCAGGATATTTTGTCACGTCTTCAATTGTAGGTCTAAGAGAGAAATGCTAAATACCATGTAATTAATCAGGTCATATTTTGTTTTCTATAAAACGGATATAAATAACTTAAATGATACTTGTAGGATCAAAGGTTTTGGTGCATGTTAACTAATAACACTTGGGCAGAGGTATCAAAAGTATAAATGTTTCTTACTCCAGTATAAATCCTACTTGTACTTCTGTAAACGTTTTACTTAAGTAAAAGTACCATTTTTAAAACTACTTAAAGTATAAAAGTAAAAGTAATGCAGGCAAAATGTTAAGGACAGATGCTTTATTGTTCTACCCTATTAAAGGAACATTTTTCTACTATTCTGGATGATTATTTCCATATATTTAATCTTATTAGTTTTTATAACTAATGGTAACCATGTCAAACATAACTTTGCATCATCTTGAAATTTATTGTGGTATGTGGGGAACAACAAATTTATGCAGTGCCAAGTCCAACCACAAAGAAATTGTCTGGATAAAACAAATTATTTCGTTTTTGTTTTTTTAAATATAATATTGAAATTGTAATATAAATGTCAACAGGGGATAACGAAAATGAGCTTAAATTGGACAGAATAACAAGTCTATTTTTAAAATGTAAGAAGTAGAAGTAAAAAGTTGTCCAGAAAATAATTACTCCAGTATAGTATAGATAGCCAAAATGTCTACTTAAGTAAGGTCATGAAGTATTTGTACCTTGTTACTTGACACCTCTCACACTGGGAAAGTAAACAAACAAAAAACAGTGACATATGCTAGATTTTTTCAGCTTCTATTTAGTTTTTAAATGATATCAAATGTCTAACTACTCATTTCACAACTCTTACGCTTCTAAATAAGAAACAGGAAGATAATGTCAGGATTCCTCTTTAATTTAATCTAAGTGCATCATGTAACCACTGGGACCATTAATGGGTAACTGGCATATTTAAAACTTCAGTCCTGTGAGCATCTGCCCAAGGCCTATTAACCTCTATCAGTCTTCTTACCATCTGATACGGTTAGCCTAGACTGCTAGTATATACCCACAATGGTTTGCAGTGGCATTTGAGGAAGGAGCTGTCCATGTAAGCAGTCATAGATTAGCAGTAGATACTATTAGTTTGTGTCTTTTAGCTGTGCTGAGTGCGTGTCCGGCATTGGCAAATCCTCCCACGCCTAATTTAAGACCCAGCATTAATCACTGGGCTTGGAGCTCAGAGTCGAAGATGGGCCTATGATGGGGTGGGGGAGAAACCAAACCCACTTTGCTGATTTTTCACCTGGGGCTATTTGGACAGAAGAGGGGAAGAAGAAGGAAGAAAAAAAAAAGAGGGGAAACTAAGAAGGAAAGAACATGAGAACACTGAAGATGAAAGGGCAAGAACAAAATCCAAAAGAAAATAAAGAAAGTGAGTGATTAAGAGAGGAAGAAAGGAAAGAGGAAGAAAGAGGCTGATTATTTGTAATTAATTAGGCGTTATTGTTCTAAATTAGCCGGCTACATGGGTGCTCATTAATCTTCTGTAGTGGGAAGCAGTGACTGGTAATCTATAGCCTGTTTCTGAGTGCACAGCCTACTCTAAATGCAACAGTGGTCCGTCTTTTTCCCCTCTTCCACCCACTTTCCCACTGATCACACCAGACGACCTTCCAACCCATTAGTTTGAGCTTAATTTGACATTTATCATTTTTAGCAATTAAAAGGCTGCATTAAGGCTGCATTAAGGCTGCACTGCTGCGGACATTATGCAGGAAAGTGGTGAAGCACATAACATCATAGATTAAGGATGTTGTCTGTACATTACGATGATGTATGCTGGTCTTAAAAGGGGCTCTGCAACAGATCCAGTTACCACTAGACAGAGGCGGTATATGTCTGTGTGGTTTTTGAGAGACCATTTAGCTCTGCTCAAAAATACAGAAACTGCCCTGGGTGGCTAAGGCATCAGTGCTGATCTAATCTAATTTCAGTTTACTCAATGACTCGACTGCTCTGGCAATAGTGGGTTATGAAAAAAAACGTTATGATGATGTAGGGGCTTTTCTAATTTGACAGGTAACATGGTATTAGCTGCATAAAACACGCTTTCTTCAGTTGTTTAGCATTTTAAGCTTAAATACAGCACAGTGTTCTTTCTATAACCTTGGGCTAAGATTATAACAGGCTATTTGTAATGCATCAAAAAAAAAAAAAATTGGATGATAACATACAAAAAAAAAAAAAAAAAAAAAAAAAAAAAAAAAGACAGTCAGCTAGTCAACACACAACATCATATAAAACTTCCAAATTCCCATTAGCTTCATATAATAAAATGTAGATTATTCAGCACATAAGGATGCAGAAGGTCAGGTTAACAAAATGCTAACTTTGAAAACCTTTTCCTTCTTGTTATGAACTTTTAAGACCTTGGTTGCACATTACATATGGGAATGGGTTGGCTGTACACTCCTAATCCAATTGGCTAAATGTAATTAAACATCCAACTAAGAGGAAAGGAAAAACAGGCAACCAGTCCTTTGCTGCTGTTGCATTCATGTAGATTTGCCCTTTAAAAAACAATCTGCATCCTATCTTCATGTCAAAACAATGTTCTTAGTTTGTCTGCTTGTTGTTTGCCGTGTTTTTTGCTACTAGGCATCAACGATGTTCATGTGCAGCAATTATCCACACAAAAAGGAAGCTTCTAGCTTTATAAGCTACATATTTAAAAGCCTTAAACAAGCATATATCCTTTGAGTCATTTTAGAACTAAGCAAATAAAATGTCTCGTCCAGTAAGAACTGCTTCTTAAAAAGTCAGTTACTGATTCAGCCTAAGCAGTAAAACACAGTATTTTACTATCCTGCTCACTGTGTGTAGTGTCAAGACATACATTACTTTTTTAAGCCTATTGTCCATCAGCAAAAAAAAAAAAAAAAAGGCTTCTCAGTCAAGTCCTATTTATACCTCAGAGAACAAGTCATTGAATACAAAAATACAAAAAAGTTTAAATAAAAAAAGATAAGGGATGTTACGAATTCAGTTGTCCTCAAATTGTACTACGAGTTTCCGACTCCAAAAAAGCTGAAGTCACTTAAAGACTTTATAGCTGCTGCTACCAAATTTCTCAGTATAGGTATGTGATTCTGACAACAGCAACAGGCTCTTTATAGCCATCCGCAGTTTGATGTTAAAAGGGATCAAAAGTGAATAATGTGTCAACCTTCTACCTTTCTCCTGTCATGATGTACCTAATGGTTTTAAACACGTTAAGATCTTGAAATATTAAAAAAGGGGTTTTGCTAAAAAAAAAAAAAAACAATACTGTATTATTTCAAATTCCAGCAGAAGAAAATCAGCAAAGTGATCAATGCAAACACCTGTTCTAGTTTCTACTCTTTATCTCTTTTGGGCCTAATATGTAATGAAGCCAGTTGAGAGTAGGAGAGTGAAGGGCATAGGAGAGTCAAGGGCTCTCTCTTTTAGAGGGCTCCTTGTTCTCAAACTGAGTCTTGTGCAGAGATGGATGAGGGGCACCTTGGAGGGGATGTGTGAACTGAGACTGGGAGGGCTGTGATGTCAGTGTGCCCACCTGCAAGCACATCTGTCTGTTAACAAGACATGCATGCAGATATGCTCCTTTGCAGATGACTGACAGAAATATATACACAAAGTGCACACTTGAAAACTGATCTCAAGTGTAAAGGTCCCTTTAAGGTTGAAGGGGTTGTACTGTAGCTCATTTTTCAATATAAAAATCAGAACACCCTGGTTTTCCAAGATTACAACTGGTTTGTTATGTTAGACTGTTAGAGTTACTCTATGTAGACAAGAACAGACACAATTCTAATAGATTCTGTGAAAAAGCATTTGCTGTATTTGTTCTGCGTTAATGTTTTTAGTCACACTAAAATGCTTTGGGATATGAAACAGATTTTAGGGTGAATTCACACCAAGAAAGTTGTTTATTTGTTTTTTGTTCGGTGCACGTGGTTTTCACATTGTACTTTTTACAATTGTGTGACAGTTGCTGCTTTAAACAATTAGGGCTAAGCAGAGTACAGACCTGAAAATCTCTCTTATTTAGAATGGGATTGGGAAAAAAATTGTTCAAGCTAAAGGAGATTATGTGATCTGGTCCGTGCCCCAATATGATGGTAGCAGCAATTTTAAGCAAAAGACGGCAAAACGAGTAAAACATCTAGCATTCACCTTTCTTACAGACCCTGTTGCATTGGTTCATTCGTACCAAAGAGGCATACAGTTCCTGTTGTTGGGACATATGAGGCTGGTTTGTACTCACAACCAAAGCAAACCGTTTGTTTGACTGAGAAAACTAAGTTTGTTTTCAAACAAAAGGGGTGATGCTGAAATGGACTAGAGTCTGAACATGGCAGGTACAAAAACACCGTTGTTGTCAGACAAAGACAGATAAAATTAAAAATGCAGTTAAGATTTTATAGTAATTATAAAGCCAACCCAGACCAACCTTACCTTTTGTGAAAAAGTAATTCCTACTAAACCCAAGAACTGGTTTTGCCATCCTTGGTGGCAAAAGATGCGGATGGGGGAAAAAAAAAGCTACTACCATCTATGCTTTTTCACTCTTTGTTCACTCTCTGCCATATTGTTTTAATTGAAGTTCATTCATAACAGGCAATATCACAACATCCTGATTGCAATCGACTGTATTGTCTAAAAATTTGCCTTTTCATGTACTGTAGTAATACCTTTAAAGGGTCACTTTCTAGTGTATTTTAATTATTCCTCTGTTAAATAACCCGAGTTTGCTTAGCCTTAGTTGAGTGACTGAGTTTTAGAAATAGTTTTTTGATACCATTAAGTCAAAATGTCCACCTGCTTTACTTCTTTTGATGAAGAACTATTGTTTCAGTCTATTATTTCTCTATATCCATCATATTCAGTGTGTTTTCTCATGTGATAGAACTCACATTGTCAGAGCTCCAGTCCATCAGCTTTAATACTACAGCTCTAGTGTCACAGACAAACTTTCTGTAAAAATGTATGGAATCTGGAGCCAAACCAGCTTCAAAAGACATTAGTATGAATTGTCTCTTTCTGCAACAGAAGGGCATAATTGTGCATTTAGCATTATCGGTCACCTATAAGGGTGTTTTAACCAAACACTTTGCCATGATTTGTTTTGTAAGAGACGTTAATCCCTAAATGAGGCAGGTAGGGTTTGTGTGCATGAGGGAGAGCAACTTTGAGGACCGGAGCAAACCAGGCTCCTTTTTTTTTTGCTCACTTGGCAAAAATCTGTGGAAAGTTATGCACCTCAGTGGCTTATTTACATGTTGTGTAGCTTGGAAATACAAGTAAAAATGGAATAAAAGGCATCTTTAGCACATGGTGTGCATCTATGTATGTGCATTTGCTTGGGGATAGAGAGAGTCTTTGCTTACCTGTACAAAATGCTGTAAAACTCTCTTTTATCACTTTAACTTTGTTTTATAATGTTTTATGTTATGTTTGTTTTATACTTGTCACCTAAATAAAACCTCTCCATAATAATATTTTTGTTATATGTAGTTATCAAAGTTAAACTAAATGTTTAACCTTATATCTATAGAAACTGGTTTCATTTCCAAGTTCAATTATTTAGTTCTCCGTGTACAATTAGTTAAAGAAAAAAAGTAATCGAGATGGGGGGGAGGTTCATTTTCTTTTTTCCAACAAAATTATCCATCATATAGTAAGAGTTAGCATGAGTTTGACTACCCAGGTTAAATATTCAGTTCTACCTTTACAGAGAAGCAAAGCTTCTGCCTGCTATTCAAAGTGTTTAAGAACTGTATCCAATTCAGTTAATGTATGCAATTTATAGTCATTTTGAGGTGCTTTAGGTGGCATATAAAGGCAGATCAGCTATGACTTATGTTTTTGGAGATAATTTGTCAAGTTTTTCAGGTTGGCCAATCCATGGCTCTCAATCTAGCTCACTAGTGAATCCTTAGAAATGGTTTTGAAACTCTTTCCAGGCTGAAATCTCTGGTCATAAATATCCATAGATCGTGACATGTGTTGATTTCTGAGATTTCTTTTAAAGAACTCACCATTTCCCTGACAGGCTCTTTAAAAAGGGCTTATATTATGCACATTTTTTTCGGTTTTAACAAGGGTTAAAAGATTTTTGCATCTTTGAATATTCTTATTTACTTTTTCTTAATTAATTTTTCCACCTACATAAATATAATAATTTTAAAGCAGCAGTTTTATTTTTTATTTTTCAGGGTGTCTAGTGAAGAGCTTCCGATGTATTAATTTGACACAATCAAGTGTGTCAAAAAAATAAAATTTCCTCTGCTTTTAATATTCTGCAAAAAAAAACAAAAAGTGCTTCATTTGTATCTTATGGTCAAGTATATGTATCAATATTTAAATAAATTACTTCAGCATAACTGAATTTTTTGCTAAATTACTTGAGCAGCTGTAGAACATTGGCGCAATTTTTAAAATACAAATGTTATAAAATTTGATTTTAAATCTGAAACCATTAGCAAATCTAAATTTGTTTCCAGAGTGATAAAGATAGACCGATACATCGACCGGCCAGAGTTTTTAACCGATATTGGTGTTTCTTTACCTGTATGTGATGTGTTTGCGGATGTTGCGGTGAGGAGCATGCACTGCTTTTCACTCAATTCTGCTTTCTATTATTAAGATTTAATTTGATTTGTTAATTTTATTTTTATTTTTTATTTATATTGAGACGTATAAAATTTGTTACTGGGCCTGGAAAAAAAATAAAAAAGTCAGCAATTGGCATCACCTATAAGGAATTAGATTGATGATAAAAAAAAAAAAAAAAAAAAAAAAAAAAACAGTACTGGCATTAAAAATCCTGTATTGGGTATCCATGTTGTGATACTTTGAGAATTTCATTGTTGGAACCAGCTAATCTAAGTCTGTAATAGAGGATAATGTGCATTTCTAAAAGAATATCTGCACATCAGTTCTGGAGGATCCCAGTGGGATTGTTGTATTTATGAGGCCTTGTTTCGCCCACTGCTCTTGCATTGCAACGATGAATATTCAATGTCCTTTGAAAAAAGGACTTGCTAGAAACCCAGGAGAGTAGGATAAAAAAAAAATGCGGCTGCTAACTTGGAATCACCCAAACACACAGAGTCCCACACACACATACACCAGCACATTGCCCTGCAGCAGTGGGAGGAGAGAGCAACAGTGACAAACAACTCTGGTGCTACAAAGGTGGCAGCAAATCTATCAAACGGGACAATAAAATTGCAATTGAGTTTCTTTAGCTTTTCTCCATAGCAGATGCATGTATCTTGGTGGCTTGCACTCGCTGCAAATAAATTCACTAGATGCACAGAAGGTTCACTTTCATTGCATGTGTAAAATTCTTCGGGATGCCGTAAAAACAGCACAGATCTTGAGCAATTATTGGGCTAATAATGGGAATTTTGTACCAGTTTCTAAATCACTCCTGAGCAAATATTTGTTTTGAAGCCTAAGAAAATAATAATTTAGATATTTCTATATTTTTTTAACCACTATAACTTAAATTTTGGAATTTTTTGAGTGCATTGCGCAAACAATTTGTTTTAAATGTCTCAGAAGTAATTTCATGGGTATGCCACACTTTGTGTCTCCTGTTCAGTCGTGGAGAGATGCACCCCACTAACAACCTTCTTTCCCAAAGGTGTGTGTGTGCCCCCTGTTGGACGGCAGCCTTCACAGCACCCCCAGGTGACTGAGGACCGTCTCATATCACCAGCACTTCCTTCACTCGACTTACAATCTGCCAGGGTTAAAAGCCCCCCAGACCACAATCTGACACCAACCTCAATTATTTCACTGCCCTGGAACAGAGTCATGTAATGTGATATCAACAAAGTATTTCTGAAGCAGTATTTTGAATGCAGCTTTTGGAGATAATAAGTGCCAGCAGTTTATTCTTATCTGTTCAGTGTGAAAGAGAGAAACTCTTAGCATAAATAAAGGAAAGGCCGACGGGATTCAGTCCAATCGGTTCGTACTGTAATGAGCTTTTAAATTATAATCAGTGTAAAGCTTTCATAGTTTAATCTGATGGGCAAGGGGAGTGTAGCTTAGGTTACAGTGTTAGCATATAGAGCAGGAGTTAAAAAGGCAGACGATGGGGATAATGGCCTGTAAGTTCTTCTATGATGAGCTGCATTTTCTCAGTCACATGTGACCCAGTTGCTCGGATTTTAGCTGCAGTCCAAGTGAGGGTGACGGTTAAAGTTACAGTTATGTGATGAGTGTTTAGGTTAACGATATTGCTGCAAGATGTGAGCGTGTGGGTTACATGCTGTTGAGTTTATACAAAGTGACAGCATCCAACGGAATCCAAAGGGAGGAAAAAGAAAACTAGAAAAAAAAAGTTTTGGTGTTTTGGTTTTTTTAGAGACAGATTCAACTGCAAGAGAGCTGTGCATGGACATAATGAGCACCCTGACCTTGGAATGGGTGATGGACAGGGTGTCCACCCAGACGCGCCAGCCGCCCCACTCGTATTTGATGGCGTGGTATAGCAGGATGCGGAAGATGGCGTACACCATCTCAGTAATTTTCTGCTCCTCGTTGTTTCTGGGGTTGACGAAGGACAGGGAGAGCATCCACTCCTGCCACACCGAGCACTGCAGCAGGCTCCTGAAACAATAAAAACACACAGCAATGAGAGCGTGCAGTAAGGCTTACTGTATCGCCACGTGGGTCTGTGCCTCTACACCCTGCGAAAGGTGGGCTTTTTACCTGCGGTTCTCTCGGCTGTTATTGAACAGTTTGATCATGTCTGACAGAAACACCCTGCGAACTTCCATACTCTCAGGCGATTGGGGAGAGTTCTTTAGGAGAGCAGCGATTACCTTCAGGATCTCTGGAAGAGAAAAAACAGACAAGAATAAAGTCCTTATTCTATTCATTATCTCTGAAAAGGAGAACGTAACTAACCAGAAAAAAATCCCAGAAATTTTTCTTTTATTAGCCATTTCTAGTAAACGGTCTTCAATGTTTTGCAAAAGGCATCAGTCCCATTTTTAATCTCTACCTTATTTGGATTTTTACTGTTTGTCCAATTAAATGCTGCATACAAAATTGATGTGTGCTGTAGGCATTCCCTTTACTTTGAAAAAAAGTACTCTGGAAAAAAATCGAATAAACTAAATGCACGGAAAAGTTACCAAATAAGTAAACAAAATCACCCGCATATAACTTAAGCTATATAGAAATCTGACTTTCAAATTTCACTTTGTTCACACACTAAATACCAATACAATACATTGCAGTTTGTAGTTAACACAAAATGTGAGAAAAAAGGATTTAGTAAGGTAAACCCTAAATCTACATATTTGTTGAGGTCCAAGAGGCTGTCTCCATTTACAGCGACACACTACAGAAAATCTCATTCTCTCCTATAAAACAAAACAAAAGCCAGGCAAAAACAAAAAAAGGAAAGTTATAATAATGATGTGTATTGCATTGAAATGGTTTTGGAGCTCTTGTAAACAGGCGTGCCAGGGTCCCAGACACTTCTGAAAGGATTTGGCTTTGGTTAAACCGAGGAGACTGACTGTTTAGATTAATTATCTAGACACTGTCAGTGTGCATTTGCACTGAGCAGAGAGATGGTGGGGCTAGGATTTCACTTGTCTCTTCGGAACTTAGTGCTAACCAAAGCACCCCCCTTTGCCCCTGCAGACAGTTGTGTTGTTTCTACGCCTTAGTCACTCAAATTATGAGTCGCTGAACCTTTACCGCCAGAAAATTACCCCAGCATGTAGTGGGAATGAGGACGGAGGGATGGCGTGATCCCTTCTTTTTTTCCATTTGCTCTCGGTTCTTTTCCCTTGAGTTAATTTGAAGGAAATGCTACTTCCTCGGTTTGTTTGATTGGCTCTGACGTTACTAAAGACTGCAATCAGGGGGCCATTTTGGGAGTTTGTCACAGATTAAATCAAGAGAATACAGAGCAAAGAAGAAACAGACCACTGCTCTGTGCTTCATAGCACAAGGGCACATGTACAAACGTCCACAAGGTTTCCATGATATATAAACCGCCTGTCCAGCACGGTTGAGCGGGAGAGTTTTTAACACAATAAAGACCTCTAAGATAATCAGTATGTGACTACAGCAGAGCTTGTCAGATTAAGGCTGGTTGGAAGTAAACCTTGGTTGTGATTACAGCAAGCGCTTGAATTTCAAATTGATTAAAGCCATTTTGCACATGTGCGGGTACAGAAGAAATGGGAGGAAAGAGCTGGAGAAAAAAAAAAAAAAGTCTGAAATATTTCAACATGTAAAAAAACTAAAAGCTGACAGAAAATTGGACAAAAGGATAAAGTTTCTGCAGCATATGAGATCAAAATTATTTTTTTAATTTTATATATATATATATATATCCACCAATAAGAGATCCACATATCATCTTCTGAGAATTTTCCCTGAAGTATTGCTAAATCCGGTATTATTTTCTAAACCTTAAGAAGTTTCTAGAATAACACAAATCAGCAGCACTTTTTCTTTTTTCTTTGTTTACTAAAACATTTTCAGATTAAGGACCTATTGTATCGTCACAATTGATGCATCTAAGATCATCACCTTGTTGTACTGGGACTCCTCAGCTTTTTTTTTTACTATTAAGTCAGGTTTTAGTCTCTCAGACAGCAGAAAAACATCTTTTAGTGATGATCACCATGTGAATATCTCCAGATGTCAACTCAATGTAGTTTATTTATACAGCAGATTTAGAACAAATGTCTTCTCAGGGCAATCTGAAGTAAATCCACTCTAATCATTGATTTGTTCAAAGTTAGTTACAAGCATTCCAATTTGATTATATTTATGAAAGATTTGTTTACAATGTGAATTTGGTAAAGTGTTTCCCATCCAGGGAAACTCGGCTCACTCAGTTAGCAGAGGCTTCTGTGGATGGAAGGCTGCTTGCAGTAGCCAAATTTGCAATCATCCTATACTGTATGCGATGGAGGGAAAGGAAAACAGCCATCCGACAAGAGGAAACCTCAAATGATTTGAAAATGGGTTAACCTGTTTTATTCTAAGGTGAAAATAATGACGCTGATGTGCTAATGGCAGCTTGATCAGACTGCATCATCTAGTAATATATTACCGCCTTAGATTATCCCTTAGGGAGATGACAAGGACACAGAAACGGCCTCATTTATTTATAGCCATTATCATTTTATATTTAAAAATAAGTAACCAGATAAATTTGATATATTTACAACATATAATTATGTATAATCAGTCTAAAAATAAACCACTGTCTGAGCCATTCGTTTTAGAAAGCCAGAGTTTTTTCTGGTTCTAAATAAATGGAGCCAAAAATATTTTTCAGTACCATTTTCAGATTTTCCTAACATTGCTCCAGATTTTAAAAGACACTAAAATTGTCTAGCTGTCATAGTAACACTTTTCACATAGATGCCATCCAAAGAACCGGCAACATTTTAGAGTGAAGAGCAAAAACATTATCTAAAATTTAATATGTTAATGATGAAAAATAAAAATAAAATTTTTATATGAAACTTTCAAAATGTTAGATTCTGTTAAACAGAAGCCTAAATCATTTTATTCCATTTATCTTTCCTTTATTTGCAAGTCAGTCCTGCCAAGGAACAGCCAAGTAATTCGCTTAAACAACCTCATGAGTGTCAATCTGTCACAAAGTGTTTGGACCAGCCTAATGTTTGGATTACATCTGGGATTCAGCAGTAGGAATATACACACAGCTTTTCAAATTTACAGCGTTCATTTGTTAGTATACAGCCCGCCGATCGAAAGCTTCCACTGGGATCATCCTGCGGCAGAATGGGACTGCAGGTATGCAGACACTGAGCTGCTGGGGATGATTTAGAGGAGCAATGTGGCGCTGGGAGGCACTTACGAGGGTTGAGAATCTTCACGGTGGAGTCGGGGTCTGGATGTTGCTTGTGGATCACTTGAGTACAGATCTGCTCGGTCAAAATCTACGAGGTTACAGAAAAGAGGATCATAGTCCAATTAATCCGAGCAATAACAGAAATAAACAACAGTCCGACACGTGTTTACACTCTAATTATTAATCTAAACTACTGTACCTTTTTTAAAAGATAAGATACTTTACTCATTTATAATTGTATCTTAATCCAGTTTACACACACCAGTAATCAGAACATTAAACATTGACCAAAACTATACTGCAGATTATTATAGAACATGTCTTCTTATATACTGCCTCTAGAATCAACAATCAGCTAATGCAGACTGACCTCAAAGAGGCTGTTGTAGGTTGTCATGGTGAACGGGTTGGAGTGAAGCATCAGGCGTTCTGAGAGCAGCGAAAAAAGGCCGGAAGTCAGCATGACCTCAGACTTCCTCCTGATCAGGACGGTAGAGGAGATGGACAGATCAGTGGAAGGACTCGTTTGTTCAAAATAGTTCCATGAGGAAAAACATCACTACATAATAACGGAAATGCTTCCAATCAGTTTACTATGTCTGAACAGTACAACCTGGAGTTTTAGATCAATGGCATACAATCAGTGGCTAACAGAATGATCTGGTTAAAATGTCCAGATACAGCTGACATATTTAGGATAAAAAAGTTAAGCAAATATCATGCGGATTAATAAAAACTATGGAGAAAAAAAAATCTTTGTAGAACCTTTTAAAATGGATTTTAAGATGCTCCTAATTACAATAAAAGATTGTTACATTTGGCAAAACATACATTTTGTTGTATTGTGTGTATATCAATGAAATGTTATGAAATTATCTAAAAAAAAAAAAAATCTATTTAGCTCTTAAAAACTTAAATAGTGATGGTAGGGTGGCCCTCATCTAAACATCTAAAGGCTCCAGAGACTATAGACTGTTTTTTAAAGCAATCAATTTTGGTTTGGCTTTTTAGCTAGATTTTAGTACTTAAGATTTATAATAACATTTTGAGTAGAACAGAAAAAATAAATCTTAAAAACCCTGATTAATCAATTATTTAAAATAGTCATCTACTAATTTAAAAATTTGAGAATCTTTAATTGGCTTTAGCTAAGACAACCACAAATCAGAGCAAGCTAAACTGTATTTATACTGTATATATATATATTTTATATTTCAGATGAAAAACCTTCTGTGTCTGTAAGTATTTTTTACTTAAAACTTCTCAGGTAACTCATGTTTAGCTTAAGTTAACTGAAACCCTGGAGAAAACAACAACAAAAAAAAATCTCCAATTTCACAACTTTTCTATCCAAATATTAATCAGTTAATTCACAAGTAATCAGAGTAATTGATTATTCCAAGTCATGTAGTCCACAGTATAATTGCATTTAACTAAAACTTTAAACCCTCTACTGGTGTTTAATTATATGTTTGAATCAAAAATCTATTTTTTTTTTTTTACAATTTTAATTATTATTGCTTGTAGTTCTATCATTTTTATTATTTTGGAATCCATGGTTTTATTAATCCAATTACTTTTTCTCTGTCCTTTAAACAAACAATACCGTTTTCTTTTGACTCAATTTCCCATCAGTTTTTGTTTTTCTGTCCCTTTTATTTTATCTAATATAAACATTTTGTAAAAGCAATAAACTCATATCCTAATGATTGGTACAATCAGTAAACATTATATGCTGGATAGGAGGTACATTAAGAGTCAAAATATCAAAATACTATCTTTTTTTTTTATAAATAGCTGTTTTTAAGATTCTTGATTTTTATATCCATGTTACAACCTACTAATATTTTTTTAAAGCAATAAAAGAATTTAGCATCATTAGGACCGATTTCTAACTATCCATGGGTTAAACTTTTAAATGTAATTGTAGCAAACAGATACAGGGGGGAAAGAAAATATGGGAGTCAAATCAGTAGTTCATTCCCATGTAGAGTTCAGCAGCCTTTAAAATGCGTAAATTTTCATGTAATGCACTATTAAAATGTTGCACATTCTGTAAAAAAAAGCAACAAAAAAATAAAAACAGTAAAAAGGGAAAACTTACTTTGGGGACAAGCTCCTCAGGAAGTAGCCCATGACCTTTAATGCCTGGACTCTTATCCCCTCATTTTTTGACGCCAGGAGCTTATAAATAACACTGTAAAGACAATTTAAGTATGTGAAATAAATGTGTATAATTGAACTAAATTACACATTAGCTTAAACAAAAAACTAAAACACAAACCGTATATTTACTACAAAAAAAAAAAAAAAAACACTAGCCTGTAATTTCCTCTTGACATACCAATAAAAAAAATAAATAAAAAATAATCACCGTATCCCATTCCGCTGGTCAAAGGCTTGGACCATAGTGCCAGGATGTTCAGACATCAGAGCAACCAGCAACTGCAGCACATCGATGAGATTTTCATCCTGTGGAACACAGAGGAAGCAGGTTGAAGCTGAAGGGCAGCAGTGGGACCAGCTTTCAAAGGGAGACTGTAAATCACCAGCTATTAAAGTTGAACTACCCGTTTAGAGTCAAGGAAGGAGGAAATGAACTGCACTTCTGATGACTTACCAATATCTGCAGTCATAGTTACCAAATTAGCTATAATATATTCAATATAGAGGACAGATGAAAAAAAAGATGCAGAGTGAACCATTGTAATTGCTAATGAAACAGATTTTATTCCCAAGTTCTCCATGCTAAACAGATATTGGATTGATTTGCATCACGTAAGTGTGAACAAATCTACATAGGATGTAAAGAACAACAGATTTTGGAAAGCAAAAGCAGGTAGAAGCTAAAGCAACAGAAGCTAAAGGCTTGCTGATAGAAGGCAATGTTAGCTGGAGCAGTGTTCTGACGCCATCTGGTGGTCGAGTTCATCTCTGCAGGTTGCCGCTTACCTCATGCATGGTAAGGAGGTAGTTGAGGATACTCTGCAGTTCGTCTTCCTTCACACCATGATCCTGAAACCAATGCACACTTCAGGTAAGCCTCGACTAGCCTGGCTGTCCTTCACATAAGCATATCTGTTATAGTATCTAAGGACTCATCAGAGGATCAGAAATTATAATAAATTTTTTTTTTTATTTCCCATGCCTACAAGGAAAAAAGTTCCAGCTGTTCTTTGACTACTTAGAACCAAATAAAGAAGATATAAAACACAAAACATTCAACAAAATACAGTATAAGATATTATTTTGTTCAAAGGTTTGATACAAAGTTAAAAAAAGAGGTAAATTAAATTTTTTGAAATGAAAGTATTGCAATAAGCCTACCTTCATGATAAGCTGCTTGATAAACAGCAGCAGAAAAGCTCTCAAAGAGAGTATCTCCTTCTGACTTGGCCTTGGACCATCTGAAAACCCAAATGCAGTAAAATCAACTAGGATGCACAAGATTAAAACAAGTGAGGTTATCCTTCTTTCTTGTAAGACTATGACTGTAAAGAAAAGGTTCACAAACTCTTCTTCAAAATATGGATGAACAATTAATTCTATTTGCAATATAATCACAGTTATAAAAATGTGATTGTCTAATAGCTAGAGCCTTCAATTTTCTGTAGTGTTACAGTAGATTTAATGAGCACCAGGCCTGTAGGTAGCAGTAATGAGTTTAAAGTGGGTTAAAATGAGTTTAAAGTGGATTAACCACCACATAGGAGGAAGGACAGAGTTGCAGCGAGTGTGAAGATCCATGCATCAGAGTCCTGTAACAATGGACTCCAGACAAACGGGCATCCAAGGCAAAAAAAAAAAAAAAACCCTGGGGCCAAATTGTTTGCTTCTGAATAGTGCAGAGGAAAAAAAATAAATAAAAAAATCGAATTTTAGTCCCCCAAAATATTTTCAGCAGAAATAGCACAGCCCTAATTCAAAACATGATAGAATCAGTAAAGAGTAAAAGTAATAAAAGCGCTATGGAAAGTAAACTAAAGTGCAGATTTATGGAAAATTATGATGAAAAACAAGAAAACAAAATATTGTCAGGTCAAACAAACATCTGTCAGTACATGTTGATGGGTTGATCATAATAGGGGCTCTTATGCCTGTATATTATTGAACAAACACTTTCTGTAGCAGAGTATTTCAAATTTACATGTGATCCCATGATCCCTTAACCTGAAACATGTTACTAAGCAGCAGAATGACAGAGTGACATTCTAGACAATGTGAGAAAGTGAAAAATCCAGAACCAAACTTCCAGTTAGTGCTCCCCAGCTGTTTAACAGTATTTTACTCTTATTTAAGAAGGACCATGATGTTTAGAAGAAACACTGCAGTTAGAAAAACAATGAAAGTAAAAGACAGGGTTCAGTCTTACCAATGCCTTTAGGTGTGACTCCACTGCGGTCGTGAGGATTAACAACCCAGTAGTAGTACTTTAGTGTATGCATGACCTGAAGCACGGTTCCTACCCTGCGAACCGCGTTGTAGATGGTTACCGTGCTGATAAACTCTGTCGCCAAGTACGTGTAGAGAGTCAGCTGCACCTGCACAGACCAAGGGGAATGTGAATAAGAACATGTAGAACACATTATGTCTCAAAGAAATACACCGACAGAGGTTTTTTAATGGACTGAAACTAAATAAATGTAATGAAGAAGTAAGACTAGTATAGATAGTATTTTAATATATTAAATGAAAATCTGAAAATGTAGCTGAAATAAAAATAAACTCCAAGACAACCAACTGCCCTAGTGAAACCGCTCATTAGTGAAGTCTACCTGAGTCTAAACTAAAATCAAATATAGATGTTATGTAAAGACTGTTGGTTCCTTTTATGGCTTCCAGACCCTCCTCCTAAAACTGCAAGTTAAAAGGGAACATTACTCACAAAATGTGTCAATAGGGCAAATTATTTATACAAACAACTAATCATTCCATCATTCATGGAAATGTGCCAAGAAGAAAACCATTGTTGAAATAATCCCATAATAAGCCAGATTTGACAGATTTTAAGATGAGGAATGGCTAACATGTGGAAGAACGAATTTCATTTATCAAATAATAAAAATAGGACTTTCTGCAAGACCTTCTTACATCTCTGCCTTGACATGTGGTGGCAGTATCATGATTTGGGGGATGCTGGTAGCTTGGTTGGACTTTGCACAAGTCCAGCAGAAAATCCAGCTAGAGCAACAATAGGATGATTTGAATCATAGCAGATTTGTGTTTTATAATGATCCAGTCAAAGTAAAGATGGCTCCTGCCACTGCAGACCGTACGTCTAGAAAGCATCGACTAAGAGGGACTGAATACAAATGTCAGGTGTACTGTTAAGATTGAAATTTGTAAATAAAAACTGACGGAGTACCATTTCATGTTGGTCTATTAAATTAAACACTCATAACATATACGCAGCTTTGTAGTTGGAAGGTAACAAAATTTGAAGATCAAGAGGAATTAACATTCTTCAAATCCACTTGATATTTTTCATTTCAGAATTTCAAAACAATACTTTCCCAAGGAGGTTATTTAAGTTTTCTCAAAATGGTTATGATCTTAACTAAAAACGAAAAACAAACCAAAAAAAAGCATCTGAAGCAAAAAAAGGAACCACTGACAGATAGAAAGAAAACAACTAAGTTGAAACTTAAAAGTATGGAATTCAGATCTAAAGCAAGACAAACATCACCTGTTAGTGCCTCCACTGCTGCAAGTATGGAGGACTAAATCAGTGATAACCCATCAAGGAGTGAAACTATGGAGTTTATTGCTGTAATTAAGATACCTTGGCAGGGGCATGGATCCAGATGGCAGGGTTGAACATAATGTGATCACATAGCTGCTTAAGCAAATAGATGCCATTCTGCAGGCTGCTCAGGTATCTGGAGAAGGCCAGAACAATGTCCAGGACGGGCCGTGTGATGTGTACCTTGGAAGACTGGAGCACAGAGGCCAAGGAAGAAGTGTCAGACAGACTTCATGGAGATGTGCTACATTGCCATACATAATAATAGCATATATATATATATATAATATATATATATATATATATATATATATATATATATATATATATATATATATATAAGCAGTCAAGTATACAATAAATGAAAAAAAGATCTATACAACTTCAACCCAAAGCCAATAGCTATGAGATCCCAGCTATGAGATCCCAGCTCCCATCATGCATTGCCCTTAAATGTCTGTCTGTTAGTGTATTTGTAGCAGAGTGGAAGCAACTTTTAATGGGCTCATGATATAAAAAGTTGCCCTGCAATGGACCATGTTGCCCTGCGATGAACTGGCGATCTATCCAGGGTGTACCCCGCCTCTCACACCAGCAACCCTCACAACCCCGTCTGGGATAAAGCGTGATGGATGGATGGATCATATAAAAAGTATCCATTCTATCCATGGGACTGATTTTTCTTCTCACCTTCTCCAGGGTGTAGCCAATGACCAGAAAGCCTTTACAGGCCAGGACCTGCTCTTGCATAGACACAGAGTTCTTCAAGAGCTCCATCATGAAGGACATCAACGTGTAGCTAGAAAAAAAACAGCGACATAGAAGCAAACAGACAAGTTGGACAGTGAATAATATGTTGTGACAAAGCCCTGACTGTCAAGGTTATATCTGACATGGAGACTGACTGAATGAGGGCTGTGTGTCCTCATGTGCTGTTCAAACTGATTTAGGTTAGCATCACCTTGATGACAGCTTAAAAAAGTTGTTGCAGCATTTTATATTGCAACATGTCTCATTAAGCCCATTTCATTCCTACACTGGTGTAAAAAAATCTGATTATTTTCTTTGCTAATAAAAGATATCCCAGGTATCAAAAGTTAGACAATAACACCACAAAGACTTACTTTAATAACATTGTCCCCAATAGTTTTTATATTACTAAATCAAATAAAAAACAGCAAATTAGCTATCAAGTTGCACATAAAAACATGCTAAAGCTGTTGAACTTGTATGGCAGAAACCAAATAGTTTTTAGTTACCAGACAGAGGTGTCAGGCTCTTTGCTGGTGGGCTGGTAATAATCCAGCTGTGCAAACAGAGGGAAGAGGACCTGCACTCCTCCGATGGAGTGAATGCCACTCTGAACAGAGTGAGTCACCACAGCTTTCACGTCCTAAAAAACACAAACATACGTGTCACTGTGTAAAAAACTATTGTATTTAACTACATGCAATACATTTGTTCATTTCCACATTATCAGACGCAATTGCAATCGCAACATGAACATTTTCAAACACTGTTTATAGCAAAGCGGAAAATGTTACCTTCAAGTTTCCTATGATCTGCTCTAACCAAAACAGCTGATTTCTCTTCACCATAAAACTAAAAAACGTGTGAAATATTTTTTTTCTTTATGGATGGATGTTGCTGATATTTCATCGGACAATAATTATATTATTTCCCAAAACAGAAACGCAGAGGAAAAAAAAAACTGAAATGGTTTATTGTCAATAAAAACCTGATCTGTGCATCTTTACTAAAAAGAATAGTTTAATTAATTTTCACAATTGAAAAAAAATCGTATTTGTTCACGTCCAAAGTAAAAATGCATAAAAGGATAAGGTTATTCAAGATTTTATCTAAAGCAAAAAAAAGTTGAACATTAATTAGGTTAAAATATTGATGCTTCCAACCATTACACTAAGTACAGGGGCATGGTTGATCACAATGCTTCCTACATATAATGTTACATCTATGCAATTTAACAGTTTATAAATTAACACCAGAAAAAATATGATCTTAGATTCCTTTCCCACATCTTCTGCAAGTCATACTAGGTTAGAGTTAAGACCTATAAAGGTATTTTCAACCCACAAAATTATTTGAATTTGAAAATCTAAGAGAATGATGTTAAATAAATTGACTTGATTTTAACCCTCGATTCAATTCAATTCAGTTTATTCGTAAAGTGCCAATTCACAACACGTCATCTCAAGGCACTTTACAGAGATTCAGAAAAAGTTTAAAAACAATCCACTGGACTTTGTTTTCAAAGTTTGAAGACATTTTACTTCCCATCCATTAAGCTTTTTCAATCCAAAATGTCTGGAATAGAATTGAGTTCAAGGCTTTATAGAGTGGACCAAAACAAAGCCTTGTTCTGGCTTAGAAACATGCAATCTGAACCTGACAAGCATGTCCGCCCCTTTGGAATGGGGGTTGTTTTGTTTCCTTTTTAGTCTGTATTAGCAGAAACCCGTCTATGCCTCTAAAAGGGTGGTCGTTAGAGGGGACTGTTTGCCTGGCTGAAGAGACCTCTCAAAGCCCAACACAGAAGAGCGACCTCCTCTGGACCTCCTGGATGACTGGGAATCTTCACCAGCACTTTATAGAGATAATTCAACCCGATCATATAGTACGATTGGTTCAAATGTTCAATCCAATTGCATCGACTCATTGACTCCACAGCAATCCCTCAACTTATTCAACTGACACAACAGCCTAAGATCAAACCAATTTTTTTCAATTTCATTTGGAGTTTTCCAGCTCTAACAGCAAACTTGAGTGTTTCCTCATGTACATCTGGGTTACCCAAATATTGTACAGAAAACTTGGATGCCAGGTTTGAGCCCATCATTAAAATGCATATTTTCAAGCAAAGCTTTTTTGGAAAAACATTTTCTGTTATAATTTGCCAGCAAGTCGACCCGAAAGATGTTATTATGTGACGCTCATCACGTTCAACAAGATGACGCCATGACACGATTTTACAAACCACAAAATTCTCAGCCTCTTGCTTGTTTGCAAGAGATAATAGTAGTATGTTCCTTTCAGCCAGTTGACTGGCAGTGTGCAGCAAGATAATGGAGAGAGGCATCTCTCCTGCTTTCATACAGACAGAAATAACTGCAGAGCCCCAATAATAGGAAAAGATCTGCATGACGGAACATTTAATTGCTTTTTACTAAAATCTCCAGATATTTTGCCAATATTTATAAGCAGTTATCATATTTGAGCTTTTGGGGCAACATTTTTATTTTTTCAGGAATAGAATCTGTTACATATATTAATTTTTTTTTCTTGGGATCCTGTTTCTATCCTTCAGACAAGATGAATCTACAAACATAGATCATGCATTCATTCATATTTCCCTCTAGAATTGGCCATCTATGGGGTAGATTAAAGGAATAGTACATCCAAAACATGATTAGCCTTCATTTTCTACTCACCCCCATGCTGAACAACACTCTGGAGTACTTTTTTGATATCTCAAATGCATCTGGAGATCTGGGAGGCTTCTTGCTGTCTGCTGACATTCAAATAATGGAGGTGCCCAGCGCCCGAGGCAGAAAGGTCCATAAAAGTCCACAAAAAACGTTTCAATATTCCTCCATACTGCTCGCCCAATGTATTCCAAGTTTCCTGAGTGGGTAGCATCCAGAATTTACTCGAAACGAAGTCATTTAGAATGTTTTTAGAGCATAAACAGTAGTGTATAGGATTTCCTGAAAGCGCGCACCTGCGCGATCCTGACGCTACGGAAGCCGGCAGGCCAAACCAGCGCATTCAGCTCGGCAAAGAACTCATGCTCTTCCTCAACACTGAAGTCCTCAGACATGTTTCTTTCTTTGCACAGGTAAACGGCACATTTCTTCTTCTACGCTTGCATTATTGGAAGAGCAGACACTGAATGCGCACTTTCATCTGGTTTGGTCTGCCGGCTTCCGTAGCGTCGTGATCGTGCATGTGCGCGCTTTCAGGAAATCCTATACACTACTGTTTATGCTCTAAAAACATTCTAAATGACTTCGTTTCGAGTAAATTCTGGATGCTACCCACTCAGGAAACTTGGAATACATTGGACGACCAGTATGGAGGAATATTGACACGTTTTTTGTGGACTTTTATGGACCTTTCTGCCTCGGGCACCATAGACCTCCATTATTTGAATGTCAGCAGACAGCAAGAAACCTCCCAGATCTCCAGATGCATTGGAGATATCAAAAAAGTACTCCAGAGTGTTGTTCAGCATGGGGGTGAGTAGAAAATGAAGGCTAATCATGTTTTGGGTGTACTATTCCTTTAAGGAACCTTGCTGTATGTTTGAGTGGCAGTAGAAGCTTCTCCCATATGCAGCTTTTTTGTTTGCCATGAAAGATTATGTGATAAACAGTACGTGGGAAGGATAAAACCGAGTTCATTGCACTGTTATGTTGAGTAAAGGTTCATAAAGCAGCACATGAACAGTGTACTATTATTTTCCATCATCTTTCTTTATAATTAGAACATAAATGGGGGTAGGTTACAGCAGATCATCAAAGGCCCCAGCTGAGCCATTGTGTTACTATTTATAGAGAGAAAACAAGCAGGGCGAACTATACAACAGTGGGATGCAGGCAGCAGGAGTTCATGAAGCAGCTAAATGTGCAGCGATGTCCCTTTAAGGGAGTTTGGGTTCTAGCTCAACAATGGCAGTTCTTGTGATACAAATCCTAACCCAGTCAGGGGAGGCCATAGAAAAGTTAAACTGGGAGTATATGATTACCTGTAGCATGAGAGCGTGCGGAGAATGGACAAAAATGGAGGCATTGTCCTTCGGGGAGGACTCAAGGCAGAGCTGGGCATCAGTGGCGCAGGGGTTGTAGGTGAAGGCAATAGAAGAGGACAGCTTCCCGTCGTACAGCAAGGTCTTATGATGCTCTGCAAATAGCAGGTCACTCTCTGCCTTGTACTTGAATGTGCCCTGTGAGAATAAAAAGAAAAAAAACCCGCATTTAATAAGAAATTAAAAATCTCAAGTTTTATTACGAATAGGGACTGGTTACCCCAAAAATTTCCAGAGGTTTTTTGATGATAATCATTTAAAGAAAATGTATATTTTTTTTTATTATTATTCTAAAGGTAGTTGTACAGTATAATAGTTTTATTCCATAGGAGACCAAGAACATTAGCTTATTTTTTCCAGAACGTTCAGCTAACTGGTACACTTCTTGTGGAGTGTTCCTCTGCAGAAACCAACACAAAGCTAGAAACACACATCATATGATAACAAGGATAAACCAATTGACGAGGTTTATAAACTGACAGTATGTAATAGTGACATGGCACTTTAATTGTTGTGTCAGTTTGTACCTGGTAGCCAGGACCCAGCTGATAGATGGCCAGGATCTGAGCAGCGCTGAGAGCCTCTGCAAACAGGTAAACTGCCCCCATCTGTCCACAGAAGACACGGTTCACGTCTGCCGTCTCAGATGATCCAAGGAAGCACTTGTCGAAAGTCTGAGGGAGGAAGCACAGGAGCAAGGATGGTTTAGAACAGGAACATGTTTACACAGAGAAGAAAGGAACAACTGTGTTTACCCATGCTATAAATGGAATCAGCATCCAAATAAATGAATGAAGCTAAATTAAATCTGGCGATCACCGGTGACACAACAACAGAAGTGTTGGGAATAATTAGGCCGTGTCTCAAAATAGAGGCTAATGTACTTTGATAAAAGAACACTGCATAGTGGGGGGTAATTTCAAAGAAAACATGTCATTTCATAACGACTCCAAGAATTTATATGCCCTCCAATGTGATAGCATTGTAAGGGGTTGGGTTGCCTTTTTTTTTTTTTTTGCACATACCAAGTGCAATTCTTAGCAGTGCTTATTCCTAAAGCAGAACACACATACATAGAGCCATCAGAGCAGCCCAATACAAAATATACAAGAAGCACAACATATAAATATACATTGGAGACTAAAGCTGAAATCAAGTTGTTTCAGAACCTCCCAACAAAACTCCCTGATTTACTGAATTTATTCCTGTGATTCTGATAGCACTGATATCTGTGCTGCGTCTGAAACCATGCAGATAGTGTATTATGATCAATGCAGAGACAAATAGGGTCCGATAAAAGTCGAGTGAAAGGGGTCCTGAAAATATGTAAACAAAACCAAAATGTGAAGCATATGGTTTCCTTAGCCCTTATTCTGCTGGCAACCATTCCGTTTACTAATGGCAGAGAAAGTTCTGTGATACACCTCACATTTTAACCATGGGGAAAATGATGCATCCTGACATAGCATCATCAGAATAAAGCTGCAAAGTTAAAGACTTTACATCATGAAGGGTTTTGAAGAAATTCAGCTCAGAAAATGCATCAAATGATAAAACATCAGAAGAAGCACTGGTCAGTCCATCATTCAATAAGAGATAAATAATATATAAATTTTAGGAAAGCCTTCATAAAACTATCCTCTCCCTTCATAACCATGGACTACTTAAACATTTTTTACAATAAATTCAAACTATAGAAAACCAAGTCTTTATTTTTAACACCACTAAATATCCTCTTAAAGCACCATTTAGATGTTAAAATCTACAGACTAAACCAGTTTTTGCGACTTACATCGCTGGTGTTGACGAACCAGGCAATATCTCCAAAGGAGGCCAGCTCTCCGTTCACAAAGCAGCTTATTTCGCTGTTTTTCCATCGATTGTAGACGTGAACCAGAGTCACCATGTACCACTGCAACAAAGAACAGCTTTTACATTTCAACACAGTAGCCTTAAAAATCTATTAAATATTCTAATAACTTCTAATTAAATAACCCATTTCTATCACATTTCAGAACTTTGCCTTAAGGTAAGATCTCACCTAATTGTGTTTTTTTAATAGTCTCTGCAGTTTACCACTGAGGTTATAAGATGGTTTGAATCAGCTAAAGTTAGCTTTTGGTTGGCTGGTATATAGAGGTGCTGCCTTCCTCAGGTGAGACCTTAGCCAAAGGTTTTATCTGACTGAGTTGGTGTTCATACAGTGTGCAGCGACTGGAGGGAGCAATGGTTTGGATATTCACTTCTACTATCATTCCTCTACTCCCCTCTGGTTCTGCTTCTGCTCAGAGACATTCTAACAAGGTCTTAATATGTTTGTAAGGATGTTTGTCTGTGTGGATAAGTAGTGTGTTGCACTGCCTGATATAGTCATAGAATTGTTTAAAAACACCATTTTGTATCCTGCCTTATAAACACTTTAAAGCAGAAGATATGCTGAAGTTATCTTAAATTATTTAAATTAAACTCCATAATTTTACCTTAAAATACAGAAAATGTACAGATTTTCCCTTCATTTAATTGTAATCTCTGCAGAAGCATGTTTCTCGATCTCACACCCATTATCTCAGTATCTAGTTGAAACTGTTGTGTGCATCCATGGGATTTATTTATATACAGTAAAAGGTCTGTTCTCTAATTAAAATGACTCTTTTTTTTAAGCCAATGAACGTTTAATTAGTGTGATTATTTCCATACCTTCTGTGGTTTGAAGTCGTACTTCACACAGTGCTGGAACCCTTTGCCCTTTGATTTTAATGAGGTCACTATCAAACAGCCGCCCACAAAGTGTGCAGAGTAGCCCATGCCTTTACTGGTGCGGAAGCTGCAGAGAAAAAGAAAACCAACAGAGAACACAAACGTACAACTGTAGCTGGTGTGGGAGGCTTTACATCATCATGCTGGCTCTATTAAATAGTAAAATAGGGAACCAGTCGCGATAAATCAGACATTTTAAAGTCAGGTTGGAAGAATTCAGAAAGGAAAAATAAATAATTCCTGATTCTTATGGGCTTTGTCACATTCTGTTTCCCAATCAGATAATACACTTTATTCATATCTAGTCCATTAATCCTCTTTGAAAAAGCTGAGTTTCGATTACTAATAATCATAAAGTTGTCATGTTGGGTAATTTCACAGAGACTCTTGGGTTAGTTTTAGATAGAGATGTAAATTATCTGTGGTTGGAAAAGAATATGATAAAAATTATATCACTTTCGCCTCAAAAAAGGGTATTAAAATAAAAACTATGGCCTGCATCTAGACTTATTAACCTACTGCAGAGGCATGTGGGAGACGGTCCACAAAGCAGACACAGCAGCAGGACTTCAACTAATCTGCAGCAAATTGCCTAAATCATCTCTGGGACATTTAGAGAGTACTATAAGCTGTTCATTTATACAGTTTATCGGCCAAAATAAAGTCGCTGTAGAAGTGAGTTGTCCTTTAAGTTGCATTTGAACATATTTCTCAGGTTTGGCGACCTGTGTTTCTGTTACCTACCAGTATAGATAAGGCTTGTCTTTGTCGACGTTGATGTTGTTTAGAGGATCCATTCGGATCCATGTGTGGAATGTGAATCCATTCTGGTACGGCCATCTGGCAATGGGGGGTAGAGCTATAGCCTGTTGGAATATCAAATATAAAGACATTTGAAAAAAGTACAGACTTCTAAATTAACGTTCAAAAGTTTTTTTTAATATGATCACACAAGACTGTTTTTATCCAGGGATATGTTCACACTGCAGGTCTTAATGCTCAACTCTGATTTTTTTTTTTGTCGTTTTTTATGTGGCTGTTCAGTTTCCCTGAAGTGACTCGCACGAGCAGAAGAACAATAACAAGACATGTCAGAAGTCCGTGTCAATGGGTGGATTTAAAGCTTTTGAACAGTGGAAGTAGCCGGATGATACAGCAGACAATGCGGAAAAGGAGAAAGAGAGCTAAGCTATTAATTACTGCTTTCTGCGGCAGCGACATCTCTGAGAAATGCTTGGGTGCAGCGTACCTGTTATGGAATGACCCCTCAGGTTTCTTTTGGATTGTTGTATCCATCCAAATATTTATCAATTCCAAAATTTCAGTATCCCTCCACTGCACACCTCAGTCTACGCTGTCATCCATGTTTGTTCTGTTGTAACTGTTTTTGTCCCCGTGCTGTCAGTACAGTGACATTGTCGTCATACTAATGGGTCACTTGGCTGTTCAGAGGGCAGTCACATTCCATAGGATCTGACCTATACATGTATCAGATTTAAAACCACATACAAATGTAGCCCAGATCGGATTCCATGTGACCTAATATGAGAGAATCTCACCCTAGTCACTTCAGGGCAAAAGAAATAAAAAACAAATTGGATTTGGGCCCCAATTTTCTGCAGTGTGAACATGGCGAAGGCACAAATTTAGCCTTGGCTGTCACATTTATATCAGTCTAACAGAAAACCTGTCATCCAAACCAGCTGAAGCAATTGGCCTAAATCAGTGAACCTACTCTGGTTCTGATGCAATGTTCTTTGATTAAAATAAATTACATTGGCCACATTTAGTATACTGCTAACTAGTGTTGCGCCGATGCCATTTTTTGGCCCCGATACCGGTACCCGATACCTGGCTGTGCAGTATCGGCCGATACCGATACCATAATAATGTAAAATAATTGCCATCATGGCTTTGTCAAGCTGCTGCCTACCTTTGTGAAGCAGGAAAAAAATCTAATACAAAGTAAATCCAGTATAATTTTTCAATAAAAAGTTCTACTGGATAATAAAATAATAAGTTTTTATTGCCTACCAAGAGTGGGTGACAATAGTTGAATAAACTTATGGCTCTCAAAATGGTATCTGTGCCCTATTTGTTGGTACTCGCCGATACCGATACCACCATTTTAGGGCAGTATCGGGGCCCCGTCCGATACTGGTATCGGTATCGGTGCAATACTACTGCTAACCAACAAGGCCAAAATGTCACACCTCATTGTATTTGACCATATATGTGGTATAAAGAAAAAATGTAGCTTGTGGATTTGGGCAGCTAAAAGTTTCAATCTGGTTTGAAGATGTCCCGTTTGGAAGGAGGCTTCATTTCTTGGTTTTACTGTAGACAGTGACACATGTTTAAGCTGCTTCCAGTTCATCACATGTTCAATCCTGGGTAGTTCATAAACATCTTAACAGTTTCTCCTTCAAAATGACTTTCAGATATTCTTCCATCCATGGATAAGCGCTTGTAATCTTCTAATTGGACTGAGTGTGCTTTTCGTGCATTATAGTTCCATTAATTACAATCGTGTTTACTAAGTTTTCACAATGATAAAACTTCATTTCCGCTAGACTTGATCTCAGAACAAAAACGTATATAAAAATAGCATATAATGCTTTGAAGTGTGGGGCCTTGTATCAATCTTACAGAAAGAGGAAGTTACCAATATTTGGGGTGTTCAGGGCATGAGGAGGAAGATCACATCTAACAGAGATCTAAGCAATTTTTCTACTACACATTTTTTCTTCTAAATGTCACAATTGAAATAACACATTTGAGATGTTTGCCTTGGTTTTAATTAGATAATGAAGCTTCAGTGAAGATTGTAAGTTGAGGTAAAATAATATTTGCAAATATTTATTGGCAAGGAAAACTAAAAGTTGTCAAAACTCCATAAAAGAAAGAAAGTATAAGCAACCAAAGCAGAGACTCCATAAAACAACATTAAGGGATTTACATTGCCACATTGCTCAGAATAGACAGGCTATAAAACGCCCACATTTTAAAGATTTTGCATTCAATTGAGGCACTTCCTCTATTAGAGAAGAATTAGACTCGACATAAAAGTGCAAAATAAAAAGTCTGCAGATAAAGTTTTTAACATGAATCTAAATCAAATAAATTAGACCTTCTATTTCATCCCTTTATTAGTGGGAATTATGTTCACTTCAGTGTAGAAGACAGTAAAGATGTGGGAGGGTGGCAGAATAATAGCTCTAATGAAGAGTAGATGCATCAATATCTAGCTCAGCTGGTCACTGCCGGCTTCTCTGGAGAAATGCAAAGTCCAGGTGTGGATTTTAAAACTACAGCGGCTTTCATCGTCACACGATGGGAATATGTACAGAGTATGGTATGATGACTGGGCAAAGCAAGGTAAAAACGCTCAAAGAAATACAGCTACCCCACAGCCCTCTCGATCAAAGGGTTCAGGGAAGCATGGCTATTTAATGTAATCAGCAGTCACCACACGTGTTACCACAGCAACCATACTCCATGTGACAAACCCACACTACATTATGGCTCCTACAGTACAATAAAAAGTTTAAATTCACCTTCCAGTGGAAAATACTTACCGCTGCATTTTTCCCAGGAAAACTGAAGAATGAGTCTGGACCGTTCCTGTGAGCCATGTGCTTTAGAACGGCCAACAGCTTTACTGCATGAGGCGGCTGGGGAAAAAAAATAAAAGAAATGCATCTCTTAGGGCTGGGAGGAAAGATATAAGATTTTTTTTTTTTTTTTTTGCAAGAGATATAAGAATATGTTGACTGTAATCTAACTCTGGAAAAATACAAGAGTACCAATGAATGAATTGTTTAGGTTACACATTTCTTTCTATCAAAATAAATAAGGGTGGCTATGTAGCCTGTTAGTTTTGTTTTTAAAGTTCAGTTATTGTAACCAGCAAATAGAGCATCCCTACAGGCAGCACATACAGCTTGATAAAACCCCTCAGCATTGACAGACTTGGACAGTTTTTCACCATGCATTTCAGCATGAATGCTACTCACAATATTTTTTTTCCCTCATCAAGGTGCCTTTAAGTTTACTCCAAGTTGACGTTTTAAAAATGACTTCCAATCCTGTGGAACCATTTACCTCTTGAAATTAAATCTGCCCACAGCTTGGATCATTTTAAATCGCTTCTTAAAACGTAGTTTTATTCTTCGGCTTTTATTTGAAGCAGTGTTTCACATTCTGTTTTGTTAATTGGTGGTGTTGTCTTTCCTGTAAAGCACTTTGGTGCAGTTTTATACCTGTTTTTAAAGTGCTATATAAATAAATTTGACATTGACATTTGTATAAACCAGAGGTTGTGACACTACTCCTTAAATGATTTAGTCAAATCATTAAAGGACGTCAAGGACTATTACCCAGAAAACCTCAATATTTTCTGCTTTTCAGGGTATTAGTGTAAATCATATAAACAAAAAACTGGCTTGAAATAAAGGTTTGAGTTTAATCTTAAGGAAAAACTACCATTAATGTCATGTCTCTCTGGATCCAGCTCCTAAGATAAGCATGTGACATCTGACTGTAACTCTCCGACTAGTCCGTTATTGGCTGTGATAGGGCAGAAGTTTAAACCCTTCTAGCACATTCCTCATGCGGGTCCAAAGAACAGAGACAGATCACTGCATTTTGACTCTAACTCACCCACTGGCCCTTTTCCCCTTGCAGCTTGCTGAAGAAAAGCTTTAGCTCTTTCACTGTGATGCTGTAGCTGGCAAGCACACCCAACATGTCCACCAGCAGGTCTGCAAAACACACACAGAGCAGAGGCTGGAGATCAGAGCTGGAAACGTACGAGGATTAGACTCAAACAGGAGCGGATGAAACAAAAACAGACAACTATGGAAAAATAAACTTAAAATGTCTGTGGGTGTGTATGTAATAAAAAGGTAAAGATTTCAAAGGAATGTAAAGCAAGCAGGTCTCCAGCTCTCAAAATGATGATTTAAAATGGGACACCCCAGGAGTCCCAGCTGCCATGGAGCATCTTTCATGACTCATTACAAACACCTGATAAGCAGATTTAAACAGATTTTATTTTGTTTAGATCTGAGTTACTCATAGTAGAGTTTTTGGACTTCCGATCCGATACCGATACTGGCCGATACCAACCTATCCGAGCATGTATTTAAGTTTAAGTATTTAGCCTTAGTTGTAAGACTCATGTTGAAAAGGGTTTTAGTACTCTTGATAACATCTAGCCAGCTGAATTAGGTGAGATTGAATAAAACACAATGATTGGTAACAACAAACTTACCTTTTTATTAAGAGATAAACACAAACTGGACAAAATATGAATAGCAATCTGAAATTGCACAGTGAACAGTAAAACCGTAAACAGTTAAAGGTGCAAGTATTACTGTAAGTTTTAATAAAAATGCAAAGCAGACAAGAGTGGAAAATAGTCTATTAACTTAGAATCAGGACTCTACTCTTGAAAAAAGACACTGTTAAAAAAAAATCTGTGCAAATAATAGTGAACTATTATACAAAAATGCCTTATACTCCCCAATCTCCTCCACACCTAGTCTCCATCTACACATCGCGCAGGATAAAATAATCCCACACGGCGGACATTTTCCCCGCTATCTTCCAATTCACCTGTTTTAATGGTTAGGCCGGGAGACGGACCCAAAAAGACCTGTGGGTGTGTTGAAGGTGTTCTGGAAAATGTGGACCGGATTCGGGGAACACTGGCGCAAAATAGTGGAATGGATCGTTTCAATCATCGAAACTGGAAAATACAGACCAGATTTTTTTTTTTTAAACTGGATCGGCAGTCTGGATCGGCATTTTTACATGCTTTGCCGATACGCATTTTTTTGCCAATAACGGTGTCCGATCCGATACGTGGATCGGATCGGGACAAGCCTAACTCATAGCTTGTTATCCACAGGCTGGTTAGCAGTATCAAGGTATACTAAGGGGTTGAACAAAAAACATTTCTAAAGTACTGAGGTTTACTGTGATACTTACCTGATGATTTGGTTATTATATAGATAAATGGAATAAGTCCTATCCCACTCCCTGCTGTGCACTGCTAGTCAGATTACAGGTTACCTTCTATTACACCTAGGGATGTAAGCAAATATCCGATGTAGGATTAATTGTCGATTTGTTTATTAGATTAAAATCGGTCCCATCTGATCATTTAAAACATCAGCTTAAGAACTATTGCTTTTGGTGTTGTAGAGTTACAGCCCTACAATAGGGGGCGCTGCTCATTTCAAGTACATCCTCCAGTATTTGCAAGAGAGCGGTATCTGAGCAGAAACATAAATCAGTCCGGTGTTCAACCCAGGATTATTTACTCTGTTTAATGGCGACAAGAATGAACTTAATGCAGTTCTGTTTGTAAAGACACTGCTCAAAAAAACAAACATTCAAGTAACACATCCTAGATCTAAATGAATGAGAATATTCTCATTGAATACTTTGTTCTGGACAAAGTTGAATGTGCAGACAACAAAGTCATAGACAAATCATCAATGGAAATCAAAGATATTAACCAATGGAGGTCTGGATTTGGAGTCACACACAAAATTAAAGTGGAAAAACCCACTATAGGTAGATCCAACTTTGATGTAATGTCCTTAAAACAGGTCAAAATGAGGCTCAGTATTGTGTGTGGCCTCCATGCTCCTGTATGACCTCCCTACGAGGGAATGCTGCTGAGGAGATGGAGGAGGATCTCCTCCCAGACCTGAACTAAAGCATCCATGAACTCCTGTGCAGTCTGTGGTGCAACATGATATCGGGGAATGGATTGAGACAGGATGTCCAAGATGTGCTCTATTGTAGTTAGATAGAAGAGAGGAAATTCAGGTTTAATTGTTAGCTGATTGAGAAAAATCTGTCAACTTTAGATTACCTCATTAATTATTACCGAATAAGAGGACACATTTAGGTATGTGGAAATACAAAGAAATGTTCCTGCTAAGCAGCCTACAGCTGGATACTGTAGCAATTAGCCTGACCAACTAGGTAATATTAGAATTTACATTATTTCTACTCTATAGACATGAACGAAAGGTGTGAAAGTCAGCAAAAACCATTTCTGCTGTATTTTATTTTTTATTTTTATGGACTAAAATAAAGAACAAAAATCAGTATCACCATAATAGAAATACTTGTTGATTTACTGTTAAACGTTATAGATTGTTTTAAATTGAAGTGGCAGCATTGAGATTAAGTGCAGTCATGATTTAGACCCAGCAATAGCTGGGATCTGTATAAATTGCAGGAACAAAACATTTTCAGCTAAATAATCAAATAAATGCAGTTTAATGGAGACATAAAGGCTACAGAAACACTTCATTTTACTGGCCTATAATCAGCAATGCTCAACCACTTGTAGCTAGAGCCATACAATCTGGACATAGTTAATCAAGCAGTGGTGCAAAATGCTGCTCTGATACTTGAGTGAGATTTGTACAGTGTCCCCATGTCAACACTAAAAAATAAATAAAAGCATGCAGCTCTGGAAGATGAGAAGTGAGGGGGAAAAAATAGGTTTCATACAAAATTCCCCAAAATCATTATCGGTCTACTCTTTAAAATATTTATTAAGTTGCTTCAGCTCCATGTAGAAGTCTAATTTCAGCAGCATTTCTAGCTTACATGGTGGTGAATTATTTCATAACCAAAGCTGTAGCTTTTAATGTAAAGGGAACTGTTAGCCTGTCTATGTGTTGGTACAAACTGGCCTCCTTTTTCTCCCAAGCCAAAGTTATCTTTGTAGTGGTGGACTTTAAACTCTACTAACCAGGCATGTTTTGTTTTTTTTATTTGTTTTTTCCAACAAGCCACACCTCTGTGCATCTAGCCTGGCCCTTTGGTAACAGTTTCTAAATCTCTTTAGCAAAATCCTTTTCTTTCAAGGACCAAAAGTATGCATTACAGACCATGTTCACAGTACTAAACCAACCTTCTTTAAAACTAAAAACACAGTTTCCTTTTATTTTACACAGGACCCCTCTTCTTTAGACAACTATTTAAAGTAAGGGCAATAATTGTTAATTTGTTATGACAGAATAATTTCAAATGTGGAGTAATACAACCTCCTTCAGTCTTAAGACAGCAGGTGGGCAGCAGTGTACGCAAACTTTAAAAAACAATCCTTTCATCCATCATGCCTTGAATATTGTAGTTTGTCACATTATGACAAACTAACAAAGTAGCATATGATGATGTGTTCAAGGGGTTTTCAAATCAGTTTACTCAAGTCTGGGGTTGGTAGCTCACACTGAAGCAGGAAAAAGCTAAACATAACGTATTGGAAAATCCCCCAACAAAATGTACACATAAATCCTGCTGACAACTTTTGACTCTCCTCTCTTAGCCAACAAAGACATTTCTGATTCTGAAAACCTTAGTTTGCAGTTTACCATTTCCAAACTCTGGAAAGATTCAACTGCTTTCCAATGCGGATCTATCTGCCTCTCTCCCTCGACTCTGGTCACAGGTTTATTTTGCATGTCAGTTTCTCTGCAGGATTGAAAATATCTCAGCGACAAAATATTGATAAATGTTTCATATTCACTTTAACTAGTTTAATATTCCTCCAGGGTGTCTCTCTCTCTTCAGAGACAAAGAAAGATTTGGACTCCATAGAATATAAAAAATGTGTTGGTTTAGATTTTCAGTCATCCAGGTCATAGTCATCCCAAAAAAAGGTATAAAAAAAAAAAGAAAAAAACAATCCACTGGACTTTGGACCAGGAAGCTTTTTCAATTCAAAATGTCACGAACAGCGTCAAGTTTGAGATTTTATACAGTAGCCCATCAAAACCTTGTTTTTGTTTTGAAAACATTAAAATTGAAAACGGACGACTGGGGCCACCCCTTTGGAATGGGGGTTGTTTGGCTTTTTTTGTTTGCCTGCAAAGACCCATACCCGTCTAAGTCTCTGAAAGAGGGGTCGTTAAGCTTTCACAAGACACATCAACTCGCTTTACCACAACATCAAACCTGTGGATACCCAAACTGGAGCTGGCAGCAGAACATAACAGCGAGAAGATTAAACACAAAAAAACGCCATCCCATATGCTGCTGGAGTCTCTGAAGAAGACTTTCTCTAAACACAAAATCCCAGTACATTTCAAACCAAACAACACCTTTAAACAGAGACTAGTGGATCCTAAGGACAAAACCCCCAGACCAAATATGATTGGGGTGGTATATGCTGTTCAGTGCAGTGAGGTATGCTCTGATCTTTATATTGGAGAAAACAAACAACCTCTCCACAAACGCATGGCCCAACACAGGATAGCAACCTCCTCTGGATAAGACTCTGCGGTACATCTACACCTTATGGACAAAGGACATTCTTTTGAGGACCAGAATGTTTACATTTTGGAGAAAGAGGAGGTTTGAGAGGATCATGAAGGAAAAAAAAACAACCTTAAACAGAGGGGGTGGACTCCGATTTCAGCTTTCAAAAACCTACAATGCAGCAATTGAGTTAATCCCTTCCCGCTATCACTGCACCCCCGAACCCTGCACAGGAGAGCAGAAGACCATTCAGAAGACTATTCAGCCAGGCCAACAATTCCTTTTAACGACCCCCCTTTCAAAGACTTAGACAGGTATGGGTCTTTGCAGGCTAACAAAAGAAGCAGCTTGACCCCCATTCCAAGGGGTGGACCCGGGTGCCCATTTCAATTTGCCTGTTTTCCACACAAAAACAAGGTTTTGTTGGGCTACTGTATAAAAACTCGAATTCAACGCTATTCCTGAGATTTTTAATTGAAAAAGCTTCCTGGATGGGAAGCGAAACGTCTTCAAACTTGGAAACAAAGTCCAAGGATTGTTTAACCTTTTTTTGTTATAAAATATGAAAAAAAGCCTAAAGCATTAGATTATCTTGTCCTTCAATTGAATTTCACAAAATTGTCTGAAATAATTAGTGGTGAAACAGTTCTTTAAAAAAAACTTTTCCCCCCCAGTACCTGCAATCATGTTGTCAGTTGCAGCTATTCTGTGCAACACCTGCTGGATTAGCCCCACTTCAGTGCACGCCTGCAGGTTTCGTACACTTTTCTTTAAGATGGCAGTGAAGATGCTCCAAATCTCAGCCTGACAGGTTGGTTCACACTTGTCCAACAGCTCCACCATGCACACGATGCTCTCCGGCTCCTGGATGATGAAGTTCATTTCAAGGTCAAACTGACCTCCAACCAACTGGAAAGAGATTCAAAAACAAACATGTTACATTATTTAATTAGTATGAAATAGAAAATGAGTTATTAATACAATAATTTTCCAAAATACTAAAGTATTTTTTCTTTTAAACTAGTGATTAAATGGTCGTAAAATAAAGGGCAGGAAAGAAATAGTTATTTTGTTTGTGTAGCAGTAAACTATAGAGGGTTCAAATTCATACATAGTGATAAACAAAGAGCATAAAACGCAAATAGTGATGTTAGTGTGCCAAAGCAGGATATTCAGACAGAAATGCGTATTAAGAACAGAACCTAAGAGGTCTGCCGAACTGCAGCTGGCTTTGGGAAAGTAAGTGCAGCTGACACAGCCTGTCAGACACAGCTCTGGGCTGCAGTAGCTTATAGTTTGTTTGTTCCAGAGAGCACATGCAGCTGAAGCAGTCATTTTAACCTTCCAGTGACATCAATACATTGTTTTCCATATCATGTTTTTTAATGCTCCATCAGGACTAAAGTAGCAGGTTTAATTTCTTCGATCAGCTGTTATCATACACCTAAAATCTACAGCCCGCTAACAGAAATGAAACATCAAGGAAGCTAGGGCCAGACTGATTCACCTACTGCAAAGTGGTAATGTTCTTTGTGTCTGAAATGAAATGTATGAGGTTTAAATGTCATAATTTCTCATGTCTTAATAGCTTGGATGACATTTTTATTACCTACCCCAGCTAATAGAAAAAGATAAGGCAAATAACAAGGCTGATGTCAAATTAATTATGTTAGTGCCTTCAAGATCCACTTATGTGACACCATAATGGTTTAGTTTAATACAGCAAGAGGAATATGGTCGATTAAGTAGAAAGAGAAAACATCTGCATGTGGATCAATGTGTAAAAGAAAAATGCATGTTGCAGAGAGATAAAGCTAAAAATGACAGCTAGAAAAGAAAAGTTAAGTTAACCTTATGAGTAAGGTCACTCAGAGCTGCTTCTAGACACCATGGGGGGGCGATAGCTCAAACGGTGCTGGCTTTTTATTTAAAAGACTGAACTTCTGGTGTCCTCATCTCCAAGTGTGTAAGGTATTGTCAACATTCTTGAATAACCAATGACCCATTGTCCTACTGATATTTGAAGCCTCAACAAAATCCTTTCAAAGATTGCAAATGCAATGATAGGTAGGTAGAGGAAATGAAATTGCTTCCAGCAAAATTAGTAACTTGATGTCTTCAGTTGTGTACAGATATATATTTTTCTACACTTAAGTATTTCACTCATCTGCACACGGCTTACTGCACAAATACATACAGGTGCTGGTCATAAAATTAGAATATCATGAAAAAGTAGATTGATTTCAGTAATTCCATTTAAAAAGTGAAACTTGTATATTATATTCATACATTACATACAAACTCATATATTTCAGATGTTTATTTTGTTTAATTTTGATGATTACAAATGACAACAAATGAAAATCTCAAATTCATCATATCAGAAAATTAGAATATTACTGAAGACCAATAAAAACAAAGGATTTATAGAAATGTTGGCCAACTGAAAAGTATGAACATGAAAAGTATGAGCATGTACAGCACTCAGTATTTAGTTGGGCCTCCTTTGGCCTGTATTACTGCAGCAATGCGGCGTGGCATGGAGTCGATCAGTCTGTGGCACTGCTCAGGTGTTATGATAGCCCAGGTTGCTCTAATAGTGGCTTTTAGCTCTTCTGAATTGTTGGGTCTGGTGTATTGCATCTTCTTCTTCACAATACCCCATAGATTTTCTATGGGGTTAAGGTCAGGAGAGTTTGCTGGCCAATTAAGAACAGGGATACCATGGTCCTTCAACCAGGTACTGGTAGCTTTGGCACTGTGTGCAGGTGCCAAGTCCTGTTGGAAAATGAAATCTGCATCTCCAAAAAGTTGGTCAGCTGCAGGAAGCATGAAGTGCTCTAAAACTTCCTGGTATGTGGCTGCGTTGACCCTGGACCTCAGAAAACACAATGGACCAACACCAGCAGATGACATGGCACCCCAAACCATCACTGACTGTGGAAACTTTACACTGGACTTCAAGCAACGTGGATGAAGTGCCTCTCTTCTTTTCCTCCAGACTCTGGGACCTTGATTTCCAAAGGAAATGCAAAATTTACTTTCATCAGAGAACATGACTTTGGACCACTCACCAGCAGTCCAGTCCTGTTTCTCTTTAGCCCAGGCAAGACGCTTCTGACGCTGTCTGTGGTTCAAGAGTGGCTTGACACAAGGAATGCGACAGCAGAAACCCATGTCTTTCATACGTCTGTGTGTGGTGGTTCTTGAAGCACTCACTCCAGCTGCAGTCCACTCTTTGTGAATCTCCCCCACATTTTTGAATGGGTTTTGTTTCACAATCCTCTCCAGGGTGCGGTTATTTCTCTTGCTTGTACACTTTTTTCGACCGCATCTTTTCCTTCCCTTCGCCTCTCTATTAATGTGCTTGGACACTGAGCTCTGTGAACAGCCAGCCTCTTTAGCGATGACCTTTTGTGTCTTGCCCTCCTTGTGCAAGGTGTCGATGGTCGTCTTTTGGACAACTGTCAAGTCAGCAGTCTTCCCCATGATTGTGTAGCCTATAGAACTAGACTGAAAGACCATTTAAAGGCTTTTGCAGGTGGTTTGAGTTAATTAGCTGATTAGAGTGTGGCACCAGGGGCCATCAATTTTGAACCTTTTCACAATATTCTAATTTTCTGATATGATGAATTTGAGATTTTCATTTGTTGTCATTTGTAATCATCAAAATTAAACAAAATAAACATCTGAAATATATGAGTTTGTATGTAATGTATGAATATAATATACAAGTTTCACTTTTTAAATGGAATTACTGAAATCAATCTACTTTTTCATGATATTCTAATTTTATGACCAGCACCTGTACAGTTGTTTTGAGCGACCCCTTTTGTTCTCACCATTTCCCACTGCCGTTTATTCTACACATAATGAATTTTGATACATTAACAACTAGATCAAACATTGACTTTATTTCAATTCGTCTCAACGTCTATTCAATCTCTTAATGGGAGATTGTAACAGTTGCAAATATTTTAGTTTTTTCATTTAATATTTTTCTCATTCAGAAACCTAATCGATTAATCTATGAGGTTGTTATATTTTCTTTAAGCAGTCATTATTTAATACAACAACTTTCAAATATATATCATTTAGTTTAGCATACCGTGAAAGAAAAAGAAAAATGTAGTCCCTCATGTTATGACCTGACCCTATCGATATAGGAAACAACTTTTTTTTTTAAATAGCAGCTTATCAACTAATTATTAGTCGATCAATAAGATAAAATTTAGATTAACTCAATTGATCAATCAAATGTAACCATAGTAAATCACACATTTACTATGGTTACATCTACAAAACACAGATGCAGTCCATCTTCAAAAATCACCAACATTTTCTAGAATAAAAAATTTAAAAAAAACTACTGTAATTGAATATTTACATCATGCCTAATATCACAAGAAACCACTAAAGAGGAACACTTGGCAACCTGGCATGTAGACCTTGAACTCTTCCAAACTCATCTATAAATCACCGACACTTCATGTAGTAACTTGGTGCTGAATACCTCCAAGTGTCATTACCAACTGCTAGCTGCCATTTTACCACAGTAGGTGATTTATGTGCCGACACTGCAAACAAGTCCTTCATCCATCACATTCAGCTGACTGAGGGATGACACACAGGGGGCCAATTCATCTGTGACACAAGAGTCACACTGCAGGGACATCCGCCTGGTACTGAAGCCAGGATAATTGGGCTGATTTTGGATCCATTTTGTCACAGTCTACAAACAGGAAGGTGTCCTGAGTTACAGATGAATAGAAAAATGACAGTTTGAGGTTCTGACTGCTGAAACCTGAACCTTGTGCTTCACCACAACTACATTAGCCTCATTAATCTCACCTGCAATACATTTTAGGTCTGTGGCTATCTATGGATAAGTTCATCTATTAAATTGATAGTACTAAATGTCAAGGTTAAATCTTGACCGTATAACTACATAAAAAAAAAAAAAAAGAAAGAAATAACGGCAATTGCAAAGCGACACCACAAACTGCTTTTACTCACTTTTTGTTCTCAGCTGCCATGCTCTTCCCTTTTTGCAGCCATATATCAAGACATCTAATAGCTTTAGCAAATTAGCTTGCCAAATACCCAGTGCCAATTATTATAGCAATTAATAACTAAAAAGTAGTGTGCCAATGGCATTTTTTTTGGCCCCAATACCCGATACCTGGCTGTGCAGTATCGGCCGATACCGATACCATCTGTTTGAAATTGAGTGTGTGTATATGTATAAAGAACTGCATACTACTTGGATGTAAAATAATTGCCATCATGGCTTTGCCAAGCTGCTGCCTACCTTTGTGAAGCAGAAAAAAGACAAATACAAAGTGAATCCAGTAGAACTTATTTTTTTTGACTACCTGGCATGGGTGACAATAGTTGAATAAACTTTTGGCTCTCAAAATGGTACCGGTACCCTATTTGTAAGTACTCCCTGATACCGATACCAACATTTTAGTGCTGGATCGGGGCCCTGCCTGATACTGGTATCGGTGCAACACAATTAAAAAGTAAAACCAATGTGATTAAAACAACTCTAGATGGATGGCCCTAAGGTTTAAGCTTTAAAGGAGTAATTAGTATTGTTGCATTTATCATAGTGCTAAATTTGTATTATAATACATTTGATGGAGATTTAAAGAGAAAATATCATACAAAATGAACTTTGAGATTATAACCATGTGACCTTGATCGAAATCATTCCTGGATTGGTATTTCTCTTGATTCATGTGTTGCTGAGTAATCATCGTGAGTTCTGTTGCGTGAGCAGCAGCCATCCTGGACCTGTGAATATGAGTGACTGGAGAATATCTACACAAAAATGCTCTCTCCAGGAATCACCTCCCTGAACCACATGGCTCCGGCACCGTCAACAAAGGCCTACTTTGTGGGTT